TCTGATTGACTAAATAACAACAAAATTAATAAAAGTTTCATATATCTGTCAATTTTAAAGATAGAAATAAGGAAGACTACTTTTGGAAAGCTTACAAAACTTTTTTTTGATACACTCTTTGTCGTTTATCATTTATCGGAAATCAAAGACGATTTTCAAGTCGTCTCTTAATTCCCATGTTTATTGGGACACCCTGAATCATAAATATTAAGTAATCCCTTTAAATATGAAATATACTATTCAAAGCACCTTTGATGTGGCTCTTTCAAACTTTCTACTTCTTAAAATAAAATAAATAGAAGGGTGACGAAAAATTCAGATAGTCATTTTTAGTTTAGGGGTATAAGAACGGGGCGTTCGTTTAGTAAACGATATTTTCCGTTACCATTAGTTAACGATCTCAATTTTATCAATGGTGTTAATGAAGGTATTTCGCCGGTAAAATATTCAGAAATATCACGAATCGCAAATTTGTTTTCACCGTGACCGGTTGTTTATAGTACTTGTATATTCGGTTCGCCAAAACTCCAAAATTTCCATCAAGCCGTCACCATGAATTGAAAAATAATTTATTTAAAAGTTCCATTATATAATTATGGAGGGGGGGGGGGCGTCATTAAAAAACATAAAAAAGGTTAATGCAATTTTAGCAGAAAAAAGAACAGAAGTTGCTGTTTTAAAAACCCATTCGTTTCGTTTTTGATTTTGTTTTCATTCTTTCTTTTTCATTAAAAACGTATAATCCGTTTCGTTAACGGAACTTTGTCTTGGTATCTTATTTAGTAAAATTATCCTATCCAACACATTCACATTCCACAGTCTGATTTCAATACAGCGCACACTTGAGTTTTTATCTAAATGCAAGCGGGTTGAATAAATATATATCTAGCTCTGCTTGACGGACAAACACATCTTTTAAGGGTTTCAGTGTAAATTGGGCATTGCCCTTGTTGCAAGAAGGATCATTTGAATTTACGCTTATAACAGTTCTTTTAAACCAACTCTCTGATAATTATATACTCTGAACTTTATATTATGTTATGTTCAAAACTGGTCTTTATACTGTTTAAGAAATACCAACAAAGTTTCTATTAAAACTATATATTATGTTATGTTCAAAACTGGTTCTTGTCCTGTTTAAGAAATACCAACAAAGTTTCTATTAAAACTTTATATTATGTTATGTTCAAAACTGGTTCTTGTCCTGTTTAAGAAATACCAACAAAGTTTCTATTAAAACTTTATATTATGTTATGTTCAAAACTGGTTCTTGTCCTGTTTAAGAAATACCAACAAAGTTTCTATTAAAAACCATGCTTGTCATTTATCAAGTGTTAAAAACAGAAATTAACATATAGGTAATTTATTTTCTAGATAAGATTAAATTGAGCCTAAAACTAATGAATGCTCGAGTTTTGGATAATAATTAATAGTTTAAAAGGTCGAAAAGAAAATTTTAATGATTTGTTCACAAAAAATGTCAATTTCTGAGTATTTTCGTAAATTCAAGTGACGCTTCATATGAAGAGGGAACAGTCTGTTGAGGGGAGGCAGGCCAGCTACAGCAATTTTTCTTCCGAGTCACATTCTCCTCATTTAATCGTCCATACCACCTCGAAATCTTCGTCCTTCGAATATTATCTATTTTAAAGTTTCGAATACTTTAAGATAAAACTTGCCACTTTAGGGCATAACATATGGATAGACTAAAGTATTGCAATAATTACATCATTTTGTAATCTCTCAAACTATGAGAAGGACTTTATTTAGTTTAAACTTAAGTCTCTTCTTCCTCCAAAATACCTAACCTTCGCGATAAATAAATAGCAAAATATTTGGAATAGCTTTTCCTATCATTTCCCCCATGGAACCACCCAAACACAAATCTATGGTTTTTACTATAATTAACAAAGAATGTAAGTTCTATCAACTTGGAATTATTTTCGGTATTCTTCATCTGAAAATGTAAGAAAGGTGGACGTTTTAAAGGACATTGAACTCAAAAACTTTAATTCAATTTAAACTATTTTATTCGATTTACAAAAATTCAATATACCGTCTATGTCCTAACGTGGCCTCATTCCCGACGAGGATATTGAGGTGACTCGGACTAGAAATTGTTGTGACTGGCCTCCCCCCCTTGTCTGAACTCAATACAAAAGGTTTCGGTTTCGTATTTAAATCAATCTTCATTTCCCTTGTGTCAAAAGTTCCCTGCGTAGACTACATATTCTATTGTTTATAAAATAATGATATTTTGAAGAGCTTTTATCATCGTCAAGGGTGTAATGCAAGGAAAGTTAATTGCGGTCATGTATACTCTGCGTACACATTGAAACCAGTTCTCTTTGGGCGGAATTTGTAAACAAAAAAAGGTGCATCAGTGTTCGTTTAGTATCCGAGCAGGATAAAAGCATTGAATTTTTAAAATTTTGATAATTCACATAATAGTTTACTATAACCAGAATATTTCATTGATTTTTTTTATGTGAAAGATGGATACCTTGTCAGGCTGTAACATCCGTCTTGTGTTTACATTACCGCCCAGAGACAGTACACTGCAGTACAAAAGATGTGTACACTTCTGAAATAACTTTCCTTGCATTACATCCTTGATCATCGTAATGTTTTCACAAAATACTTCAAATATCATGATATATACAATATAAATACATTATTTTTAATCCTCTTCTACTTAAACTTATCCTTTTAACTTAGACAAAATATTATTAATATTAACATTAATATTATTAATATTAACATTAATCCTACAAATATTACTCTTTACGCTTTAAGTACCTTCCTATATATTTAATACAATCTCAAATTCAATATTGAATTTTTAATAAAATATTGTTGACATAATTTCAAGTGACCCTTCTTTAAAGAGAACCATTATTATCCATTCAAAACGATACAATTTATTTCTCTTCAAAGATTTGGAAGTTTGCTATAGTTTACTGACTGAGAAATTCTTTAATTCTGACAACTTTCTCCATTGTTTCTGCAGTAATAGAGTCAACAAGTGTCACTATTATATAGAATTCACAATTGAAAATTAAACAAGACAAAATATATATCTTATTTATTTTTCATCATAAAAATGTTTAACTGTTGTTAATCGGACCTTGCAATCATTAATTGAGAGTGAATTGAAATTACATCGACAGCCTACACGGTCCCATTAAAATTAGATAGCGACAGTTTAACTTTCGGTTTTTCGTGTCATTGTTTAGCAGCCATTCATCTTAGAATATGAAATAGGATCATTTCTTGTCAAAACTTCATCTTTCACAGGGTTATTAATAGTTTTCGTTTGGAAACGAACCACTCGTTTTGAACTGTTCAAAAACAAAAAAAGATTGTTTTTGACAAGGTTATAATCCAAGGAAAGTTATTTCAGAGGTGTATGCATCTGCTGTACTGAAGTGTACTGTTGCTAGGCGGTAATGTAAAAACAAGACGGATGTCAAAGCCTGACAACATAAAAATCAATGAAACTATTATCTGAATTATTAAAATTATCAAAATTTAATGCTTTTAACCTCCTCGGATACTAAGCGAACACTGATGCTTCTATTCTTGTTTACAAATTTCGCCCAGAGAGAACTGGTTTCAATATGTACGCAGAGTATACGCAACTGCAATTAGCTCTCCTTGCATTATAATTTTGATTTTTGAAAAAACTTTCGCTAATGAATCAGAGTTTTATGACAATTAATTACAATTTTTTATTTCAAGAAGATGTTTTCTGACCTCAGATTTTTTACTAAAAATGTTAATGTCTCTAAAACAATTTAAATAATGTTTACTATTAAAACATTTAATTTAATATCCATACTACAATATATGAATTAATATTAACATCGTATCACACAGGATTGGACATTTAGATGACGCTTCTTTATTCTATACAAGTTAAAGGTACTGTCTACTTAAGTGCAATTGACCCCCCCTTCTCCCAAATAAATAGTTACTTTGCACATAGACAAATTTTGTCTTTATGCAGAATGTTTATACCTGCAAATGGATAGATTTTCAGTAGCAGCTAAATAAATTTGCAGATTGTTGCAGATTGTTGAAAACTTACAAGACAACAAAAGTACCGTGGTAAAATTACTTAAGCAGTCTTTTTAAGCATAATATATATATTGACAACATAATATTGTTGTACATAACATACTATTGTTGTACATAACATAATATTGTTGTACTTAACATAATATTGTTGTACATAACATAATATTGTTGAACATAACATAATATTGTTGTACATAACATAATATTGTTGTACTTAACATAATATTGTTGTACATAACATAATATTGTTGAACATAACATAATATTGTTGTACATAACATAATATTGTTATGCTTAACATAATATTGTTGTACATAACATAATATTGTTGTACATAACATAATATTGTTGTACACAACATAATCTTGTTGTAAATAACATAACATTGTTGTACATAACATTATATTGTTGAACATAACATATATTGTTGTACATAACATAATATTGTTGTACAGGGTTGAATGCAAAGAATGAGACTTCAATGAGATAAAACTCTTTAAACAAAGCCCTGGACACGCACCTCTGCCCCTTTCGTAAAAGTAAGGTCAACCTACAGGGTGTCCCACGAAACATGACAATAGCAAGAAGGTATGTTTAAGGATATCTACTCGATATAAAGCAATATTTATTAATACTTATTTTGACTCAAACTCTTAACTAAATGAATATAGAAAAAATATGCCGGTTTAAGAAAGTTTTAGATAGATATTTGCAATCATACAGAACAAAAAGTTTTATCAAAAATTAAACTTAAAAAGTTTTATAGAAGATTTTAAAAAAATGCAAAAAAAATCATTTCTGACACCCCTACGCTTAGTACGCCAATATAATTCACCAAAACCATACTGCAGTCCTTCACAATTATCATACAGGGAAATTTTCATCTTTCTAAACATCCCAACGAAAGATTTGACAGGTTCTTTATAATTTGATTTGATATTAAATGGTTTGACAAAAAAGAAACAAGTTCACAGTGGCAGAAAACCTTGAAAGGAAAAAAAATTCCATAATTGAAGTCTCATTCATTGTGGATCACCCTGTACGTGAAGTATCCATTGTAGAAGGACTCTTCAGTAAACTGTCTTTTCCTCATCACTAGAAATAATATTTATTAAAGGATTGAACACAATATACTGCAGGGTGTCCCAATAATATTTATTACAGAATTGTACACAATATTCTACAGGGTGTCCCAATAAACATGAGAATAAAGGGACAAATTTTAGATCATCTTCGAATTACACTTTCATATAACAAAATTATTCCTAATTGCGTGGGCTTCTAAGGTTTGGTTTGCTTGTTTTCTTCCCTTAAAAATTGTTAAAAATCCAGATTTTGTCTTAGCTATATTAATCTTTCTTATCTATTTATCTACTCTTTTTCAGGATATTTACATGGAACTGATTAAAATTGATAAAGACACCGTCTTTCAGCCCTTTAATGCAGGATTAATTACATTAGAGGAGACTTTAATGCAGGATTATCTACAATAGGAGAGACTTTAATGCAGGATTAACTACATTAGAGGAGACTTTAATGCAGGGTAAACTACATTAAAAGAGACTTTAATGCAGAGTTGACTACATTAGTTGAGACTTTAATGCAGGATTAAATACAATAGGGGAGACTTTAATGCAGGGTTAACTACAATAGGGGAGACTTTAATGTAGGGTTAACTACAATACAGGGGACTTTAATGCAGGGTTAACTACAATAGGGGAGACTTTAATGCAGGATTAACTACATTAGAGGAGACTTTAATGCAGGGTTAACTACAATAGGGGAGACTTTAATGCAGGGTTAACTACATTAAAGGAGACTTTAATTCGGGGTTAACTACGTTAGAGGAGACTTTAATGCGGGGTTAACTATAATAGAGGAGACTTTAATGTGGAGTTAACTACAATAGAGGAGACTTTAATGTGGGGTTAACTACAATAGAGGAGACTTTAATGCAGGGTTAACTACATTAGAGGAGATTTTAATGCAGGGTTAACTACATTAGAGGAGACTGTTATGCAGGGTTAACTACATTAGAGGAGACTTTAATGCAGGGTTAACTATAATAGAGGAGACTTTAATGTGGGGTTAACTACAATAGAGGAGACTTTAATGTGGGGTTAACTACAATAGAGGAGACTTTAAAGCAGGGATAACTACATTAGAGGAGACTTTAATGCAGGGTTAATTACATTAGAGGAGACTGTAATGCAGGGTTAACTACATTACAGGAGACTTTAATGCAGGGTTAACTATAATAGGTGAGACTTTAATGCAGGGTTAACTACATTAAAGGAGACTTTAATGCGAGGTTAACTACATTAGAGGAGACTTTAATGCAGGGTTAACTATAATAGAGGAGACTTTAATGTGGGCTTAACTACAATAGAGGAGACTTTAATGTGGGGTTAACTACAATAGAGGAGACTTTAATGCAGGATTAACTACATTAAAAGAGACTTTAATGCAGGATTAACTACAATAGGGGAGACTTTAATGCAGGGTTAACTACAATAGAGGAGACTTTAATGCAGGGTTAACTATAATAGAGGAGACTTTCATGTGGGGTTATCTTCAATAGAGGAGACTTAAATGTGGGGTTAACTACAATAGAGGAGACTTTAATGCAGGGTTAACTACATTAGAGGAGACTTTAATGCAGGGATAACTACATTAGAGGAGACTGTAATGCAGGGTTAACTACATTAGAGGAGACTTTAATGCAGGGTTAACTACAATAAGGGAGACTTTAATGCCGGGTTTACTACATTAGAGGAGACTTTAATGCAGGGTTAACTACATTAGAGGAGCCTTTGATGTAGGGTTAACTACAATTCAGGAGACTTTAATGAAGGGTTAACTACAATAGAGGAGACTTTAATGTGGGGTTGACTACAATAGAGGAGACTTTAATGCAGGGTTAACTACAATACAGGAGACTTTAATGTAGAGTTAAATACAATACAGGCGACTTTAATGTAGAGTTAAATAAAATACAGGATACTTTAATGCAGGGTTAAATACAATACAGGAGACTTTAATGCAGGGTTAACTACAATAGAGGAGACTTTAATGCAGGGTTAACTACAATGGAGGAGACTTTAATTCAGGGTTAAATACAATACAGGAGACTTTAATGCAGGGTTAACTACAATACAGGAGACTTTAATGCAGGGTTAACTACAATACAGGAGACTAATGCAGGGTTAACTACAATACAGGGGACTTTGATGCAGGGTTAACTACAATACAGGAGACTTTAATGCAGGGTTAACTACAACACAGGGGACTTTAATGCAGGGTTAACTACAATACAGGGGACTTTAATGCAGGGTTAACTACAATACAGGAGACTTTAATGCAGGGTTAACTACAATACAGGGGACTTTAATGCAGGGTTAACTACAACACAGGAGACTTTAATGGTGGGTTAACTACAATACAGGAGACTTTAATCCAGGGTTAACTACAATACAGTCGTCTCTGAAGTCGCATCCTTTGTCTGTAACCCTGTATCTGGATTAAGACGTATACCTGAGTGCAGAAAAGCTAGTATCCAGGCTGCGGGAGAACCTTGTCTAAAAATATACAAAAAATATTCCTAGAAAATCCCAAGCTCGGTATTTTTCGTAACAAATTAGATAAAAAATTTACTTTTTTTACATTTACGTTTTTTTTAAAAAAGTCTGACTCTGGGAAAAAATCTTTGCAGTAATATAGTAGGCCATAAGAGGCCTCAACTCGTCAAATTTTAACTGGCCCCAAGGTTTTCATCGGAGACCTCCCTGATTTTCCTCGAAAACCCACAGATTATGATCGGAGACCACCCAGATTTTCATTGGAGATCGTGTATATTTCAACAAAATAATCTTTAATTTTTTGGGGTCTCCAATAAACATCGGGGGTCTCCGATGAAAAGCTAACATCCTATGAGTCTCTGATATAAAATTGAAAGGTCTTTTAGTCTCCGATATTAAATTTAAAGGTCTCCTAATAATCTTCGAAAAAAAACTTGAAAATATCCAATAAAACTTTGGGGTTTTCAATGCAATTGCAGATGTCAGAGTCTTCGAGCATTCCAGTGATGATGATTTCTCCCCAGACCCGAACCCAAGAATATAACAACATTTTTAGGGAAAACTTATTTTTATACAGTACATACATATATCCCATTGCAAATGACAATTCTTTGATAACTATGGTCTATCAGTCAAGAAAAAATGGTCATATGCTACTCCTAGTCTTGTGATTTTTAAAAAGTGGTCTGACTTGTAATTTCAAATATAAAAAATTCTAGTGTAGAGACCAGATTCTTCCAAGCCCCAAGTCAGCCTGTACATTTCAGAAAACCAATACAAAGACTGATCTTGTTTAATAAAAAGCCAGGTTGTATAGAGCTAAGGAGCTAGATTTCATTGATCCTCATTGTTAAAAGAAAATTAAATTAACCCTATCAAACCCTCCTTGGTTCTACTCTCATTGAGAATAGAGATTACGGTACAACACGAAGTCAAGTGTTATACAACATAGAACTTACAAGCTACAGTTAGATATTATACTTCCTCAAACATTTCTTTATTTCGTGAACAGTACCTTTAAACAGTAGAAAATAATCTTCAGAGGTTGGACATTTTGAAAAAAACGCTTTATTTACCAACGGATTAAGCTAATTCCTTTCTTACTGATCAGAGCTGGAAACTTTTGAATGGTGCATATCGGGATTAAAGCTTGATCCACTCTTTTTCTTAATCTTGAGATTAAATAATGCTTGTTCTCCTGTTGTTATTAATCCCCAGATTAATTAACCGATCGGGATTAAGGATATCTCATTCTAAAGTTTTCGGCTCAGAAATTGTTAAATTATTTTACAAATTAAGGATTTAATTGCTATAAAGTTTATACTGCGGTCTTATACAAAAGTTCCAACCTCTGATTTAGTTTTCTCGGTAATTTTCAAAGAAAATAATATTTTTTTCTGTTAATATAAACAGCTCATTAGAAAACATGTTAGATACAGCTAGAGGTGGGCATAATTTTTGTGAACGAACGATTATTTTAGAAAAAATGAATTTGTTCGTGAACGATGGTATCGTTCAGAAAATAACAAACGATGCATATGTCGTTTATAGAACGAACGAAAAAAACGAACCATATAATATTGAATATTATTTTGTTTTTATACGATTGAAAAAAAACTAACGATATGGGTCATTCATGAACGATGAACAATCAAAATGAAAAAAAGCCGAACGCGCCCATCTCTAGATACAGCATATAATCAACCAGTCTAGAGAAAACATTACATTGACTGAGCTGAATATATTAACAAAATAGGAGAGCAAACCGTTTTTAATATCTTAAAAGTTTTCATAAGAAAACCGTGGAGAATATCGGCAAAATATTATATTTTTCAGTCATACAAGTATTTTAAAACTTTAAACAACTCTTTTAGTATTGAAATAAAACTGAATCTGACGAACAAAAGAAACAGGGTTAAAGTGGCAACAGTATGTACTGATCGACTTTAAAATCAAACAATTATATTTTAAAGATTTGAATCTGAATTACCATTTTTCTTGTCTTGTTTGCAGCATATGTCCTGAGAGCAGAAAAGAAATGTGAAGAAAATATCTTTTATTCAATTTTGAGAGAATTTTTGAGAATTTCTATCCCGCATTTTTACTCCCAATTTTATGCTCTTGGGTTTATTCATTTTCTTATTTGTTCCGAGGCAAAACAAAAATTAACATATTATTTTGGCAAAGCAATTTTAGTCTAATGTTTCGCAGATTTTCTTTAGAAAACGTCCATTTTTATGCAACATGAATTGAACAAATTTATTCTTCCAACCGTCTAGTGTTTTTTTAAATTTTTGTCTGTTTTATTTATATTTTAGTTAAAAATATGATATAAACAAAACAAAAATCCCACAAAAAGTTTAGGCAAAGTTAAAATAAATTATTTAACATTTTCTGCCTGGCGCACTTTTCTGGATGGAGAACAACCAGATAAACCTAGAGAATAGTGTTTATATAAACCATTATATTTAAAGAGACTGTAGGCGTAATTTCATTGGAACAGTGTTTATATAAACCATTATATTTAAAGAGACTGTAGGCGTAATATCATTGGAACAGTGTTTATATAAACCATTATATTTAAAGAGACTGTAGGCGTAATATCATTGGAATAGTGTTTTTATAAACCTTTACATTTAAAGAGACTGTAGGCGTAATATCATTGGATCAGTGTTTTTATAAACCATTATATTTAAAAAGACTGTAGGTATAATTTCATAGGAACAGTGTTTTTATAAACCATTATATTTAAAGAGACTGTAGGCATAATTTCATAGGAACAGTGTTTTTATAAACCATTATATTTAAAGAGACTGTAGGTATAATTTCATAGGAACAGTGTTTTTATAAACCATTATATTTAAAGAGACTGTAGGCATAATTTCATAGGAACAGTGTTTTTATAAACCATTATATTTAAAGAGACTATAGGCATAATTTCATTGGAACAGTGTTTTTATAAACCATTATATTTAAAGAGACTGTAGGCGTAATATCATTGGAACTGTGTTGTTATAAACCATTATATTTAAAGAGACTGTAGGCATACTTTCATTGGAACAGTGTTTTTATAAACCATTATATTTAAAGAGACTGTAGGCGTAATTTCATTGGAATAGCGTTTTTATAAACCATTATATTTAAAGAGACTGTAGGCATAATTTCATTGGAACAGTGTTTTTATAAACCATTATATTTAAAGAGACTGTAGGCGTAATTTCATTGGAATAGCGTTTTTATAAACCATTATATTTAAAGAGACTGGAGGCGTAATTTCATTGGAACAGTGTTTTTATAAACCATTATATTTAAAGAGACTGTAGGCGTAATTTCATTGGAACAGTGTTTTTATAAACCATTTTATTTAAATAGACTGTAGGCGTACTATCATTGGAATAGCGTTTTTATAAACCATTATATTTAAAGAGACTGTCGGCGTAATATCATTGAAACAGTGTTTTTATAAACCATTATATTTAAAGAGACTGTAGGCGTACTATCATTGGAATAGCGTTTTTATAAACCATTATATTTAAAGAGACTGTCGGCGTAATATCATTGGAATAGTGTTTTTATAAACCATTATATTTAAAGAGACTGCAGGGGTAATTTCATTGGAACTGTGTACATAGGAGTTTCCTGACTTTAAATTTTTAGATCATAAAATAAGGAAATGACGTCATTAGTGAACAGTTTTTTAAGGCTGCAGTTGTAATATAAATAACGGTCACTTAAAATTACCTTTGCCCTTCAACCTTTAACCTTGCCCTATCAAACTTTTAACAAACTTCTAACTAATTTTTAAAAAACTTTTAACTAGCTTTTAACCAATTTTTAAACAAATTTTAACCAACTTCCAACCAACTTTTATCAAACTTCTAACCACCTCTAACCAACTTCTATCCAACTTCTAACCAACTTCTAATCATCTTTTAACTAACTTCTAACCAACTTTTAACCAACTTCTACCCAACTTCTAATTAACTTCTAACCAACTTTTAACCAACTTCTAACAAACTTCTAACCATGCTTCTAACCAACTGCTAACCAACCTTCTAATAACTTCTAACCAACCTTCTAATAACTTCTAACCAACTTATAACAAACCTTCTAACCAGCCTCAAAAAATATTTACACATGGATTTTAAATTTAATCCTGTCTAGTGTCTAGGTAAATGTGAGTAAACAGAAACATCTACCACTTTTGGTAAATGTTAAACAGGTTTATTTACCTTTGGTCCAAACAGAAGACACAGTGTGACACTGGCACTATTAATTTAACATTTTTTAAGGAAAACTAAGATTAACCATACATTATTAGTTGGGGCGAATATTAAGAAAAACTTTAGACATTTCAAATTAATTAAATCTAATTATAGTTTCTGATAAGAAAGAGCTAAAAGTGCAAAAGGAGTAAATATTTAAAAACAAAAAATCTTATAAAACTCTTTTTTAATCTTTAAGAAAAATGAAAAACGTTTTTGTTTTGTTTTGGAAAATAAGTTAAACTTTACCTTTAAGGCAACACTCCAGGAAACAAGATTTTTAAAGGAGATTAAAGAAAAAAACAAAATTGTTTAATTTTTCGAAAAAGAAGATTTTGAAAAATAGAAAATAAAAAATATGAATTTCCTGAGACAGACGCACATGCAAAGACTGCAGATCTGTACCTGACAAATAATAAATTAGAAAGTCAATCAATGAATAAATGATTTAATCTTATTTTGAGTAACAATTCAGATAAATCAATCAATCATATAATCAATATTTCATTAATTTTAACTACAGGGTGTCCCACAAAACATGACAGTTGGTGAATAGTTTAAAATGTCTTCTTCCATAATTTGTTAGATTGTTTGATACTAAAGAGAATAATAGAAAATATTGTATTGTAGTCATCTTATAGTAAAATTGATTTCAAAGTAAAATATATTTGAGTATAAGATGCCAAAAGTTAATATATGGCAGTCATATTATAGTAAAATTGATTTCAAAGTAAAATATATTTGAGTAAAAGATTTTTTAAACAAAATAAATTACAAAAAGTCTTTAATATCTGATACAGTATATGGAAGAAGACATTCAAAATTATTCGCCAACTGCCATGTTTTGTGGAACACCCTGTATATAAATCAATCAATCAATCTATCATTTATTTAATCAATATTTCATTTACTTCAATTAGAAACATCAATCAATCAATCAATCATCTCATCATTATTTCAGTAACCATTATACCCTGTAATCAGGTTACCTACGAAGAATATATGAATGAAGGCTAGCCAGACTATACATATTGAGTACATCGTGAACCCAATATACTTCAATACCAGAAGCCAAAACAGTGTATTGTTATATAAGCCAGTTTTGAAACTCGGGTTTCATAAATGGGGTTAGGCAGTTTTGTGGATATCAACATTTTTGCTATGAAATAGTATTTTATTTAGTTTCTTCATATACTTCATTTTTCCGAATCTCTTAGATCAAAATCTACACAAATGTTATGACCTCAAAAAAGTAACTCGGGAGTTTTGTTCAACGATTCTCTTTTAAATTTTGGGCTCTGGTAGATGTGGTTAACTCAAAAGAAAATATGAATGAAGGCTAGCCAGACAATACACATGGAGTACATCGTGAACCCAATATACTTCTATACCTGGTAGTCGTGGTTAGCTCCGAAGAAAATATGAATGAAGGCTAGCCAGACTATACATGTGGAGTACATCGTGAACCCAACATACTTCTATACCTGGTAGTCGTGGGTAGCTCCGAAGAATATTGGAATGAAGGCTAGCCAGACTATACATGTTGAGTACATCGTGAACCCAATATACTTCTATTACCTGGTAGTCGTGGTTAGCTCCGAAGAATATTGGAATGAAGGCTAGCCAGACTATACATGTGGAGTACATCGTGAACCCAATATACTTCTATACCTGGTAGTCGTGGTTAGCTCCGAAGAATATTGGAATGAAGGCTAGCCAGACTATACATGTTGAGTACATCGTGAACCCAATATACTTTGCCTCGTTGAAATTCTCAGGAATTTTTCTGTTAAATCAAATACAACATTTTAAAACTTTTCTGAGGAGGGAAAGTTTTAATAATACTTTGCTCTCGACAACTTTATTTTAAAGAGATTGTTGACCTTTTAAAAATGTTAGTAGAAATCGTTAGAAAGCACGGAAGCCGTAGTACATTTGAATTTCAGAGCTGGGTCAACTTTTCCAGTCCCAGTTTGAACCCGGACATTGGGTAAATAAAGCAGACACTTAATAGGACTAGCCGGTGCAACAAGGTTGACGCGGTCAGACTTTAGGTTGAATTTACTTTTACTGAAGGGTCAGAGGTGCGTGAAAGACTTTGTCTAACATCTGATTATGTATAATACTGTTTCATGAAAACAGAACTAACGTTTAACGTCAAAAATCTTTTTGATTGAATTTGATAATACTAAATGTGAGTTTAGCAAACTGTTCATATCAATATACGTGTAAAAGTTTTGTTAATCCAATCCTAACTAAAAAAAAAACGAATAATGTTTACTTTTAAACAAATGTTTTTATTTAGTTTTGATTTGTTTATTTTTAAACATGCAAAAAAATTATTATTATTTTTATTGATACAAACAAATTTAGTCTTTGGAACAAAATCAAATATTTAAACCACAATATCTTTAGAACTTGATGTTGTAAACCTTTGATATTTCAAACTCAGATTACTTGATCTAACAGAATTCATAGTTTGAAATATCTAAGGTATGCAACATTTGGTTCCAAAGATATAGTTATTAGAAAATCAGAGTTTGTGACAAAGACTCAATTCCTTTACATTGAACCTTTTTTTTCAAATTGAATGCAAAAATAAAATAAAAAACTGTAAAATGCAGAGAATTCCTAATATCGAAATATAAAATTTAAGATTTGATTAAAAGGTTAAAAGGATTAGAGAACTTATTATGAAATTGTTTTAAAGGTTAAGAAATGAAAAGGCTAAGATGAAAGGTTAATATATTTTAAAGTAAATTTAATACTTCTACGGTAAAGTACTTGAATTTGTTGTGTAAATAAATGTAATGTTGTACATTCCTTGTTTTGAACGCGTAGAGGGTGCAAAGTACAACCAGTATAATGTTGTACAGGAGAGATATTATGATGGATACAAAGGATACACCGCAGGTCTTCACAGCACTGTAAAAATATTCAAGTAGTAAAAACGCTGAAAAAAGTTTAGGAATTTTTAACCCTGTATCACCTCTACATGATACCCTTCGGTTCCCTGGAATAATTCAACAAAAACGATGGGCCTGTAAAAGGAATTGAATCTTTGCAACAAACTCTGATTTTCTAATCACTATATCTTTGGAACCGAATGTTGCAGGCCTTAGATATTTCAAACTATGAATTCTGTTAGATCAAATAATCTGAGTTTGAAATATCAAAGGTTTACAACATCGAGTTCTGAAGATATTGAGGTTTGAAGATTTGATTTTGTTCCAAAGACTCAATTCCTTTTCAGGTTGAATTATGTCTTCTGCTTTAAAAATTGTCTTTTAATGACTTGTTAAATAATTTGGCAAAGAAATAATCCAGTTACAGGGAAAGATGATTACAAGGAACGGACAGTATGCATTCCGTACAGTCGTCTCTGAATACAAGGAACGGACAGTATGCATTCCGTACAGTCGTCTCTGAAGTCCCATTTTTTGTGGGCAAAAGCATGTCAGAAGAAAGTGCTTCATTACAAAGATAATTCATATAAAGTTTTTAATTTTCAATTAAAGAAAGTCTTGAATATTCTCTGTTTTATGTCGACTTCTAACAATCCATCTCTTTGCAAAATTTTTCTCTTTTACTTGAAAATATTTAATCTGAGTAAGTTCTTTCTACTGAACTGAAAAGAAAGTTGTGACTTGGCATTTTTTTAACAGAGAGTGAAATTACAGTACAACTTAACTTTGCGAAAATTGAATCACTTAGAATTTGTGCAAATAAGCATCCGTGTACATTTTAAAAATGAAGTTTTCTGAAAAAAAAATTCAGATCGATGATCGATGATCAGACGATCTTAAAGAGATTGTATTTGTAATTTTAAGAGAACCTTCATTTGCAAACACGTCAAACTAAAGTAAATTGTACGTAAGATTGAAATCGTATATGTTTCCAATCAAATATCCTTTAATTGAAAAGCTATTGAGAAGAACAAAATCGTTTTGATTTTCTAATTTGTAACAAATAACTCTTTATTTCTTATAATTGTGCGTAAAAAACGTACCAAAGTGTTTAACAGATGCAAGTGTTTCTTTCGATAAACAAAGAAACAGAGATTGTCATGTTTGACCATTCAAAGGGTACTCAGGGGCGTATATAGGGGGGTTATTGGGTTAAGTACCCTGCTCTTTGAATGCTGGGATAATTCCTACCTGGAGTCACTTTGATATTTTTATATTTACATTGTAAAACAATGTTACAATATGTTTTTACCTTCATGCAGAATGTACAATACAAATTACCTTTAGATTTGTCCATTATAATAGTCCCTGAGCCCGAAACTTAAGACAAGGTAACGTTAAAAAACCTGTTTAAGAACCTAGGTTTCACAAATGGGGTTAGCCAGCTTTGTGGATATCAATATTTTTGTTATGAAATATTATTTTATTTAGTTTCTTCATTCTCCATATTTTTCGAATCTATTAAATCAAAATCTACACAAATGTTAAGACCCCAGAAAGGAAACTCAAGAGTTTTGTTCAACGATACTAAGGCGGGTAGATATAGTGGATTATATACCTGGGAAGTCTCCAGGTGGGTAGATATAGAGAATTATATACCTCAGAAGTTCCCAGGTGGGTAGATATAGTGAATTATATATCTTGTAAGTCTCCAGGTGGGTAGATATAGTGAATTATATACCTGGGAAGTCTCCAGGTGGGTAGATTTAGTGAATTATATACCTTGTAAGTCTCCAGGTGGGTAGATATAGTGAATTATATACCTGGGAAGTCTCCAGGTGGGTAGATATAGTGAATTATATACCTGGGAAGTCTCCAGATGGGTAGATATAGTGGATTATGTATATAGGAAGTCTCCAGGTGGGTAGATATAGTAAATTATATACCTGGGAAGTCTCCAGGTGGGTAGATATAGAAAAGAGTATATACCTGGAAAGTCTCCAGGTGGGTACATATAGTAGATTATATACCTGGGAAGTCTCCAGATGGGTAGATATAGTGGATTATGTATATAGGAAGTCTCCAGGTGGGTAGATATAGTAAATTATATTCCTGGGAAGTCTCCAGGTGGGCAAATATAGTGGATTATATACCTGGGAAGTCTCCAGGTGGGTACATATGGTAGAGTATATACCTGGGAAGTCTCCAGGTGGACAGTTATAGCGGATTATATACCTGGGATGGTCCCCAGGTAGGTATATAGTAGATATATACCTTGATTAGTCCCCAGGTGGGTATATACATAGTAGATTATATACCTGCAATAGTTCACAGGTGGGTAGATATAATGGATTATATACCTGGGATAGTCCCCAAGTGCGTAGATAAAATGGATTATAGACCTGGAATAGTCCTCAGCTGGGTAGATATATTGGATTATATACCTGGGATAGTCCCCAGGTGGGTAGATATAATGTATTATATACCTGGGATAGTCCCCAGGTGAGTAGATATAGTGGATTATATACTGGGATAGTCCCCAGGTGGGTAGATATAATGGATTATATACCTGGGATAGTCCCCAGGTGGGTAGATATAATGGATTATATACCTGGGATAGTCCCCAGGTGGGTAGATATAATGTATTATATACCTGGGATAGTCCCCAGGTGAGTAGATATAGTGGATTATATACCTGGGATAGTCCCCAGGTGGGTAGATATAATGGATTATATACCTGGGATAGTCCCCAGGTGGGTAGATATAATGGATTATATACCTGGGATAGTCCCCAGGTGGGTAGATATAATGGATCTCATGATTAGGTGGATCAATGATAATCCAGGTTACTACTCCAATCAACTGAATCATGATCAAGCCTGAAAAGACAAATATTGGAAAAAAAATAAATTGCACTTGAAAAAAAACTGGTTCTTTGCCAAAAATGTTCCAGCTTACATTAGATAGCTGGAAAGTTTTCTGATTTAAATATGCAAACTGGAATTTTCCTTTGCTTTCTGGAATAGAATCTTGAAATTTTCCTTTCCATTATCACGTGACTAAAACTGGAAAAAAATTTCTCAAATTCTTAGTTCCTTTCTGGTTAACTCCGTTTGGGATGAAAATTTGAAATGTATTAAATAATGAAAACCCAGCTCAAGTTTATACATACACACAATGCCAAGCTCTTAGTAAAATACAGCCGCAGCACTCGGTCGCTTTTTAATTTAGAGTACTGCCTCTTTTCGCTTTCAGAAAACTGTAGTCTTGTAAATTTTTTAACATTAATTTGTTGAACAAAGTGTAAAAAAGTAATGGACCGGGTCACCATGTTTACGGATTTTTAGGGGAATTTATTAAGAGAATTAGTTTAGAGAAATTCCTGGGAATTTCTCCGGAATTATAATAAAAGAAAATTCTGAGAATTTCTCCTGATTACTTCTCTGGAAATTCCTGAGAAGTTCTTAGGACTTGGTCACCAAGTTTACGGATTTTTAGGGGAATTTATTAAGAGAATTAGTTTAGAGAAATTCCTGGGAATTTCTCCGGAATTATAATAAAAGAAAATTCTGAGAATTTCTCCTGATTACTTCTCTGGAAATTCCTGAGAAGTTCTTAGGACTTGGTCACCAAGTTTACGGATTTTTAGGGGAATTAAATAAGAGAAAAAGTTTCGAGAAATTCCTGAGAATTTCTTTGGAATTTTTCTCCAGAATAGCGTTTCCACGAAACGGCTAAATCTTTTGCGCAAAATTTGCGCTATTTTCGCGCACATTTTGTTGCAAACTTTTGCGCTATTTTTGCGCATGAAACGCAATGAGTTTTGCGCAGTTTAGCACAAGTTGCGCAAAACCAGAAATATTTTTTTGCGAAAGTTGCACATGAAACGAAATTTTAGTTTTGCGCAAAATCGCAAGTTTTACGCAAAATGTAACTTTTTAGACAAATTGTCAAAAATTGATATTCTAAGCTTAGAATTAAACAGCTGAAGATTTATTCCATACATAAAAAATATTAACATACGAGTATGATAACGATTATACTACACTCAATTGGTTATACTTCCAGTTACAAAAAGTTTAAATTAAGGGACCAAAATTAATAAAATAGAAATTAGAGAGTGTGAAACTTGGCAATATTTTAATCCTATTAAATAATTTCAAATGACACTTAAAAGCTTTGCCTAATCAAGAATGAATTATGTTCTTAAATTTTTTAATCAAATTTCTTAAATCTTTTTAATCTCATATAAAATAATGCAAGAAAGTAACCAATGCCTGAAGAATCCACTTTTAGGAAATATGCATGTCCAAAACTAAAATTGTCGAGAAAATTGTGAGATTTGAACTCTTCTTAACTGTCATTGGTCAATTATGTAAAAGTGACCAATAGGAAGACATTCCAAAACAAGATTTTTCCAGAATTGAATTCTAAGAAACACACACCGTCACCAACCGTTTGATTTTTGCGAAATTGCGGAATTGCGCAAAACTTGAGTTTCGCAAAAGCGGAATCGGGCAATTTTGCGCAAAAGGACTTTTGCGAATGATTGCGCAAATTGTTGTTTTTTCGCGCAAAACTGATACAGAAAGAAAAAAAGATTTTGCGTTTCGTTTTTCTCCAATAGGTGTCTCTGAGGTTCTCTTCTATTATGCACTGCCCTAACAAAATCTTTTTTTCTTTGCATCCTTTTTGTTAAAAAATAATAATCTACTTTAGAATCATCTTTTTTTAAAAATATTTGTAGATTTAAAATTTTTTTTTTGTTTCTTGACAATAATAAACAAAATACATGACAACTTCAGTAAGATCAAAAACGACTATAACATTCTGACTTAAGAAGATGGTTTTACTTCTAAAAAGTTGGAGGGGCAATATAGTTGTTAAGTTATTCACTACAATTGGGCCTAAGTCCTGGTTAGTGAATTTTCTCAGGAATATGCTGAGAATATTTCAAGGTTTTCCTGAGGAACTCTTGAGAAAATCTTGGGAATAGTTCCCAGGAAATTCCCAGGAATTGGTTCTGAAGAACTTTTCTCCGGCAATTCCTAAGAATTTCCACGAATTTTGTCGACATTTTCTCTGATTTTTATGCAGAATTGGTAACAAGAAATTCCCTGGAATTGGTTACAAGAAATTCCTTGGATAGAGTTATGAGAATTTCCGCGGATTCCCAGGAACGATTCCTGGGAATTTCCGCGGATTTTACGCAAAATTGTTACTTGGGTAATACATATCTCCCTATATAATGAGTATCTCCCTATGTGATAATTATCTAACTTTCAAATAAATATCTCTCTGCATAACAAATATCTCCCAATCTAATAAATATATATCTATCTGATAAATATTTACCTATCTAATATATATCTCTCTACCCAATAAATTTCTACCTATCTAATAAATATCATCCTATCTAATAAATATCTTCCTATCTAATAAATATCTCCCTATCTAATAAATATCTTCCTATCTAATAAATATCTTCCTATCTAATAAATATCTTCCTATCTAATAAATATCTTCCTATCTAATTAATATCTTCCTACCAAATAAATATCTACCTATCTAATAAATATCTTCCTCTCTAATAAATATTTTCCTACCTAATATATATATATACCTATCTAATACATATTTTCCTATCTAATAAATATCTTCCTATCTAATAAATATCTTCCTATCTAATTAATATCTTCCTACCTAACAAATATCTTCCTATCTAACAAATGTCTTCCTATCTAATAAATATCTACCTATCTAATAAATATCTTCCTATCTAATAAATATCTTCCTATCTTATAAATATCTTCCTATCTAATTAATATCTTCCTACCTAATAAATATCTACCTATCTTAGAAATATTTTCCTACCTAATAAATATCTTCCTACCTAATAAATATCTGCCTATCTGGTTAATATCTTCCTATCTAATAAATATCTTCCTATCTAATAAATATATTCCTATCTAATAAATATTTTCCTTTCTAATTAATATCTTCCTACCAAATGAATATCTACCTATCTAATAAATATTTTCCTACCTAATAAATATATACCTATCTAATACATATCTTCCTATCTAATAAATATCTCCCTATCTAATTAATATCTTCCTATCTGATAAATATCTACCTATCTGATAAATGTCTACCTTTTTAATCCAATTTAATGTGGGCCACCCTGTATTAAAAGGGTAAATCTAAAAGTAATGTATCGTGTACCAGAAATATATCAAAGAGACTGTAGTATTAGATTTTAAGGTAAATTTTAACAAAATTATCCCGTAAAATGAATTTCTAAAATTCCAAAATGGAAATTTAACAAAAATCTTTTTTTTTCAACTTATAAAATGATATAACATGGCAGCTACAGGGTGTCCCACGAAACATGACAGTATGCAGGACGACTTGAATGTCGTCTTGATTTTTGATATAATTTGCTGCGTTTATTTGTCAACCTAATTTTAGAAGTAAATTTCTAGAGATAATAATCACAAAATTTCCCTTGTCCTGCCATTTCCAAAATGTGGTCTGCCTTTTTTGTGCTTTCAATATTGCCCGAGATATGAAGAATTTCGTTCAGATTTCGACAATTTTGCTTTTATTTAACAAAATTGAAATCTGAACCAAACTCTTTATATCTCCGGTAATATTGAAAGCACAAAAAACGCAGACCACTTTTTGGAAATGCCAGGGCTAGGAGAATTATGTGATAATTGTTTCTGTAATGTTGACATGTGATAGCTTTTAAGGATCCGAAACAATTGTTCATTACCAATTGTTATAATAAGTGGGACAATCTTTATCACCTGAGCAAATACAAATCTGTGACATGGGAGAAATCCATTTCAGCTTGCATTGATCCTTGTGGTTGAAAATCCTGGAAAAATTACAATTTAGTGAGACCATCTGACTTTTAAATTGGATAGTCTGCTACCCGGGGGGATGTAAGATTACGGGGTAGAATGAGAGGAGGAGAAAGATATGACGGATGATAGCATGAGACTGGATGATAAAGTGGATTTGAGCCGGGATAGAAAAAGTAGCATGAGACTGGATGATAAAGTGGATTTGAGCCGGGATAGAAAAAATGTACCTGGATATTCTGCTAGTTTTTGTGAAGATAGCAGAGTAGCAGATATTCAAGCAAACCCCCAGACCCCCTCTACAAATAGTAAAGAATTTTATGTAATAGTGTGGTGCGATTGTAATATTCTGAAAATCATCATCTGTCTATAGCTGTTTTCAATTTGGAATAAAACCCCGTTTTGTTTTATTTTCATTTATCCTACATCCTGGAAGTTTTATACCGAGATCAAAGATTATAATCCAGTTTGTTAAACATTCTCGTGCGATAATATAACTGCTATTTCCTAGGATAGCTAGATGAAAAGTCGCAGCTAAATCACAGTTAGAAAATGTCTAACAAACTATATGTCTACAGCAGGGTTGTACCAAGGTTATAATTCAAGCCAAGTTAATTGCAGTTGCGTATACTCTGTGTACATATTGAAAACCGTTCTCTCTGGGCGGAATTTGTAAACAAGCTTCCTATGACCAGAATATTTCATTGATTCTGTATCTTAAAAATGGATCCCATGTCAGGCTACGATATCCGTCATCTGTTTACATTACCGCCCAGAGACTGTAGTACAAAAGATGTGTACACCTCTGAAATAACTTTCCTTGCATTATAACCTTGATTTGTACTGAGTATGTTCCTTTTATGAATTACATACTTTGGCGGACGATGGCCAAGGCGCTTAGCCCCCTAGCCTGTCCTAGCCGCAGGGCGCGGCCCAGAAAGTGCCTAAACCTAACCTAACCCTAAAATATATACTAATCTCTCTCTTCTTATAATTTCTTGCGGCATTCGTGAGTAACAGAGTTTTGCCGCTACCTATATGCTATGCATATATTATCTACATACATTGCATATGCTATGCAATTTTGCACGAACTGTCACAACGCATTGGCCTGTGATATTATCTCACATACTCACTTATACGTTTTTTGTAGCTCTAGACCTGTGAATTTTAGAAGCATCTTTCGTTTTAATTTTAATTTAAAAAGAACACTTTTTCATGATTAATATAAAAATATTCCCTGCATTTGGTACGAAATGCATTTGTATTTCTCCATATTTGGTTTAAGCGGAAAACTGCAATATCTGAATGCAACATATTGATTCTCACCAAATATATTCTGTAATATATTCTCTGATTTCTTTCATATATTTACTTTATTGTAATATTCAACGATCTTCAAATGTGCATAGAGATAAAGAAAAGAAAATGGAAACAGCATATAACATTTAGAAATCAACCAAAATTATATACTTTTTTAACGTGTGTTTTGTAACACGATAAGAATAATTCTAATTGTGATTTTAAGTAATCCTCCAAAACCGTTTTGTCTGATCAAGTATTAATTAGAGATTTATATTTGTTTTCTTTTAAAAAATGTTTCTTTTCATTTGCGGTTTCTCTATAAAAATGACTTGAGCATTTAGTGCTTAAAAAATGGGAAAATGGTCAGAATTAAACACTTTGCGAACTAAAAATCCATTTTCCTTTCCCGTTCCTTTCACATTACTGGCCAGAAAGTAAGGTTTTAAAGGTACCGAATTATTTGAAGCCGGATTACTGAATAAGGAATACTAACCTTAGAAGTGCACAGGATATTTTTGATTGTTCCAAAAGTAGAACAAAAGGAACTGTGTAGGAAAGTAGGATACCGAACAACAAAACAAAACAGAGTTCCCGGCCTGAACAAAGTACATTTATGATTATATCTGAATCCAATGAATACCTAGCTCAATCTTAACGAATACCTTAACGAATCTAATGAATAACTGAATCTAATAAATAACTGAATCTAATTAAGACCTGAAACCAATGAATACTTGACTCCAATGAATAACTGAATCTAATAAATAACTGAATCTAATTAAGACCTGAAACCAATGAATACTTGACTCCAATGAATAACTGAATCCACTAAATAACTGAATCTAATTAAGACCTGAAACCAATGAATACTTGACTCCAATGAATAACAGATTCCAATGAATAACTGATTCCAATGAATAACTGAATCCAATCAATACCTGATGCCATGATAACTGTTGTTCTTCTGTACACTATAAACACAAAGACGACCTCCAGTGTGAGAATAATTCCAACTACTCCGAAAAATTAAATAGTTTATGTTTCTCTTGATTTTTTCTTCTTAGAAACGGCTGAACCGACGTGTCTTGTTGGTAGATAATAATTGGTTTTAATTGTCTTCTGAATTTTTTCCCAAAACATTGACAATTTAGTTTTAAAAACACCTGCAAAATGGTTTTAAAAAGTTTGAATAGGATGATTAAAACTAAACCGATGCCTAAGGGATTGAGCTTTTGTCACAACATCTGATTTTCTAATCCCGTTATCTTTGCGACCACATGTCGTAGATCTTAGATATTTAAAACTATAAATTCTTTTAGATCAAATAGTCGTAGTTTGAAATATCAAAGGTTTTCACCATCGGGTTGCAAAGATTTAGGGATTAGAACATTTCACTTTGTGGATAAAACTCAATTCCTTTGAATTTAAAAATAGAAATTGAAGTTTGTTTGAAATATTTCTATTTTCTAAGCCACAACTAGGACTAAGCACTTTATTAATTCTTAAAATCGTTTGTTGACAGATCGTAAAAAATGGCTGATCTATAGCAATAATTGATCTTTTACGAGGTGTGATTGTCTACAATTTCATGATGTTGATTGCTGAAGATGGTAAATAAGGGGTTGAGTTCCTCGTTATTAAAATATTATGAGGTTTATGAAAAAATTTAGGGAAATTGTAACATTAAATTTTTGAGCTTTAAAGGGACAGACCGGCTATGCAAGGTAGTTAATCTGAGTATGCAGTGTTGTGGACAAATTCTTTTGAGACAAATAAAACGTTTCCACGATGTAAAACTACTGAGTCTAAGCTCAAAGTCGACGTTCAAAATCATGAATTTGAGTGGTTACGTTTTCAGAATCGTTTTTTTTAATTATCAAATAACGACGACGAAAAATATAGTAAAAATTATATAGTAAACTAGTTCGATGTTTAGGAACATATTTCTCAAAAGAAATTTGTCAATAAATCGAAGATAGAATTAATTATAATCATTTCCTATTTCATCATTATTTTGAATTTCTTATTTTCCATGAATTTGTTCGCAGATTTTTTCAAATTCTTCAAATGTCGTCTTTTTATTGAAAATTCCAGAAAAACTGCAGAAAATCTTTGTGATTAAAGAGAGATTATATAAACTAATACTTGAATAAGATTACTTATTTTCTATGATAAGAGTTAATTTTTATTTTCTCAACCTTTCCTTACCAATTAATTATTTTACTGTAGAATTTGGTTACATTTTTTGTCATCGTTATTAAATAATTAAAAAGAAAACAATTCTGAAAACGTATCCACTCAAAAGTACGATTTTGAACGTCGACTTTGCTCTCAAACTCAGGATTTAAAGATATCTAAAAAGTTTTATATGTCTCAAATGAATCCTAAAGAATGTGTTTATGAATTTTGTGAAATGCAGCAACTCTTTTCGAAAAAAATCTTCAAAATGCAATAACTATACTTTTGAAATTCTAACAATGAATGATGTATTTTCAATACAGCTCGTTTGAAAACTAAAAAGATTTCCTATCAGTAAATTCATTAACATTTGACAAAAGAAAAGAAATGTAAAAAGTAAGATTTTTCTCAACAAACTATGAACTATTGAAGTTTCCTAGAGAGAAGAGGAGAGGAAAGAAAAACCAGGGATTTTTCCAAGATATCGACATTGCTTCAAGCTGGATACAGGAACTCTTAAACTGGTCTGCCACATAACCTTATAAATAAACAGAAACATAAGGAAGGAATAAACACTGTTTAAAATTAGTTTTGATTATGTCTTGTAATGCACACCAGACTAACCAGAGTGAGCAATATTCGGTTTCTTCTATTTGAAATCAAACGTGTTTTGGTCTTTAATTCAATAATCATTTACTTTACGGATTTGTTTATTTTATACATTTTCATTCAGAATGCATATGCCAACAAAAAAGTATTTAAGAAAAAAGGCTAACAAATTATGTTTAATGGGTCAAATTGTGATCGAAAGTCACAGCTTTCTGGAAAAGTGACAGAACCGTTAAATCCACGTGAATGGAAACTCACTTGACCCCAGGATGGTATGACAAATTTTCCATGGAAAAAACGTTGATTACTTTTTAATTATAAATTCCGCGAGATACGGTTGATAAAGAAAATGTCAGTTTGAATTCAACAGTTAGCAGCTAAATTTTAACTAGAAAGGAGTGTAAAGCGCTATGAAAGCCTAGTAATCAAATACATGTATGCGACGTATTGAGTAATCTCAGTTATTGTAAACAATACAATTGCAAGAACGGTTTCAAGGGCGAGGTCTGAGTAAATACTTCTCACTAACAGTTTTTGTCAAAATTTTAGTTTTAAACTTTAATGTGTCAGAAAAGAATGTAAACAGTTTCTACTCCACTCTTCTTGGTGCTATCACTTCTTAACAGTTTGTATTTACCTTGTGTACAGTACACAGTACAAAGTACACAGTACACAGTACACAGTACACAGTACACAGTTCACAGTTCACAGTACACAGTACACAGTACACAGTTCACAGTACACAGTTCATAGTCCACAGTACACAGTACACAGTGCACAGTACACAGTGCACAGTTCACAGTCCACAGTCCACAGTACACAGTACAAAGTACACAGTACACAGTTAACAGTTCATAGTACACACCTTGGGGACATTTGTAGCATCTATCTTCTCTTAGTTGAATTGAATCCTCTCTACATAGTACACAGCTCCAGCAGCAAGGATTCTAAACAAAACTCTAATCCCTAAGCTTTATGGATAAGACAACATATGGATCAAGAAACAAACGGATCAAATTTACAAATTTACAACTTATAGCAAATGAATTTAATCACAAATGAATGAGATATTCTATTCAGTTTTCCTGTTTTTGGCTAAGCTAAGAGTATGGACGAATAAGATTAAAGAAAATGAATTGGATGACTGATGGATTGGATAACATATGGATTGGATAAACTATGGATTGGATAACATATAGATTGGATAATGTATGGATCAGATAATCTATGGATCGGATAACATGGATTGGATAACACATGGATCGTATAATGTTTGAATCCTTGTATTGATCAGATAACGTACGAATGGGATAACATTAAGATAAGCGAAGATGTGAATCAGATAATAGCTAATAGATAGATAGTACCTCATAGTTTTTTATCATCCCAAGCGGACATGGTCGACTACAGACAGATTCTGGGATAGGAGACGAATTCAATTCTGAAAAAATTACATTTTTAAACTTAAAATTGTAATAAACGATTTACAACTACATATATTTAAACATTGGCCTCAATAAATAGATACATTTCTTAAGGAAATTCATTGCTCATTTTATTTCTCTTTACTTTTCTTTTTACACTTAGCACATTTGATAAAAAAAGAAAATTCATTTTGATTTTAGCAAAAATTTTCATAAGTTGCGGAAAATTCTTTTTCGTTTTACTCGTCAATTTATTCACTAAGGAAAATAGAACAGGGGCAGAAATCCCCAGAATTCATTGATTACAAATTGAATTTAAAGTGTCACAATGCCTTGTCCTTTAATTTTACTTGTCTAACTCACTTTCAATTTTTGTAGCCCCAGACAATAGACATTTTAGAACTTTTAGTTTTTAAGAAGTAATTTGTAAAATTAATTTTTATTAAAGTTTACCGTCTGATGTGTTGGACGGTATAAAGTTCCATTTTGAGTTCTCTAGACCAAAATATAGATCTTGACTTAAACTAGTCCGGAATACTGGGGGCACTGTAAAAAATTATTATTTAGTGTACTGCAATATTACAGCAATAACAAAGGATCAATAGATGTGTGTTTATTCAAAAATATTTATTTATAAAACTAAAATATTAAAATATTGAAATGTTGAAATGTTGCGTGCCCACGGTTAGATATCAAGTCAGCTATGAAAATATTAAATTCAGGGGACATTAGTTTCAAAACTAACACTTGGCCCAAGAAATGGCACAAATTGAAAGACTGGGTTTTTGGGATCCCGACCCATATCCAGAGTAAAAGTCAATAATACAAACTTTAACCAACATTTTTTTAAACATGACGAGGACAATAATTTCTGATTTTAAACCTTTTTTTTAAATCAAAATTACAATAGGAGTTCTTTCTATATTCAATCTCTTGACCGTTTTCAAGACAATGCCAGGTTTTCCATTTTCGAACATATCCTGAATTTTAATCATTGTCGCGTTTTCGAGACAAAACCCACTTTCCCGTTTTTGAGTATTATCCACAATTTAAAACAAAACTCACTTTCATAACTTACAAAATAAATCACTGAAAACAAACTTCTAAATTATTTCTAGAATTTAAGTTTCCACTGCACATTTTATCTGTTCAAATTTTCAAATTTTCAAATTTTCTGGTTAAATCTATATTGTAAGAACAAATGATATATTAATATTTTGATTTATCAATGCTGTAATGATTTTTAAATTATAAAAGAACAGTTTGTTTTTATTTTCTATTTTGTTTATATTTTACCTTATCAAAAAATCATCAAAGAATCATCAAAAACTAATTTTCACACCTTTTTATTAGTTAAAAAATGACATTTATTGTTTCAATATATAGTTTTAGCCATTTTTAAACTTTGCAGATTAGCGCTAGTTTTGGAACTAGTATCTCCTAAAATTTGTATGACTGGGTCGACTTTGAAGTGAAGAACAATTTTTTTATTTATTTTTAAAGCCGTGACAATGACAAGAACATTTCAGAAGTTAAACAGTTGCTTGTTTTTAATGCGTCTTGAAAACTGTAAGCGTAATTTGACCCTCTACGCAAAGATGGCAATGTCCGATTCACAATTGGTACTCTTAAATTTTGGTCTGATCAAGTATGGATTAGATATCAGTATTCTTATTTTTGAAAACTGATAATTTTCAATTGTGTTTTTCTTCTCCAAAAAGATACTTTCGCATTTCTATTGCAGTGGGTGCCGTACGTCTCTATGGCCGGTACAAGGGGTCGGTCCGGTTCGAATTCAAATTGACCCTAATCCAGCGTGACATACCATTTTCTTGAAGGGGTTCCCAGTGGTAGTTTGTAACTTCACCGAACTCCCCCAACCACACATAATCCCATTTTCCTAAACAAAACATTTTCAAAACTTATTAGTGACGTCACATTCATTTCATGTACCGGGCCGACTTTTCACTAGCTAGAGCAAGCTGTACACTGCACAATACGAATACAGACTATTTAAGGCAAAAATATACCAAATAAACGATTCCCTTCAAGTGAAATTTAAGCGGTTAACATAATAAATGTCGTAATTTCTTTAATTAATAACTGAAGGTATATATTGTCATTTATATACTTAAGAAAAGAATCAAGTATTTTACGCTAAATAAAGAAAAAAAGAGAAACCTATCTAGAAGAGTTGTTTCTATTATTTTCACCATAAGAAATAAATAACATTTATCCTTCCATTAAGGAATTGCGAGTAAAATGCGGGATAACAATTCTTTTAAATATATGAATAAATAAAATTTATTGCTTTACAAATCCCTAAACTCTAAGTTTAAAAAAAACCATTAATTAATCATGAAAAATAATTAAATTAATATTAAAATCAGTATTTTCTGAAGAAAAAAATTGATTTCTCCAAAAGAAAAATATATGAATCTTCTCTGTTTGTTATGAATAAGATTAGGGGTAAATTGCATATTTTTATCATTATTCACTCCTTTTCCGGGATTATTTTTCAGCAGATTTATGATCAACTTTATATTCATTTCATTTATAAATAAATTATCATCTGAAAACAAAAAAAATTTTCTATCTAATGTGTTTAATCAATTTTGATATATTCATCTTTAGTCATTTAATTAAAGATATCTTATCAACATTTATCCTTCAAAGGTCTGTAAGCTTAATTTCAAGTGAACCTCCAGGTAAACAAGGCAATACTCGATTTATAACGGTACCCTTAAATCATTTGCATGTCTGGCGAGTACATATCTAAACCTGCTTGTATTTCGGTGCCACTTCCAGTGTACGCTGTGTTGAGTTCGTGATGTACTTAGTGCACACGGGAAAGTGCAGCTGAATATACAAGCGGGGTTCGATAAAGTAACACATATATATCTCTGTAATCGATGAAAAAATAATTAAGGGGAACTTGTAAATAAGCTTACAGTTCCTTTAAATTTATTTATGTCCTCGGTATTTTAATCAACAGTCTACACAGTCTAAAGTGTTTTTATAAAAAAAACATTAAAAAGGTAAATCCTTCAAAAAATTATGAACAGTCTCTTTTTGTATTTAAAACCTTTTTTCCTTTATTTAAAAGTTACTTCCTGCTCTCGATGACATAAACACACCCACATACCGAGGGTTCCATATCACAGTGTTAACGCAAAAATATAAAACTCATGGATCCATTTTCTACATTCAAAGGAATTGAGTCTTTGCCACAAACTCTGAATTTATAATCTTTATATCTTTCGAACCCAATGTCGTAAATCTTTGATATTTTAAACTTACATTATTTGATCTAACAGAAATTATAGTTTGAAATATCTAAGTTCTACGACATTGGAATCCAAAAATATAGGATTTAGAAAAGCAGAGTTTGTGGCAAAGACTCAATTCCTTTCTGTTGTGAATAGTCTACAATTTTAATTAACCTTTAAAATTTTCTGTTTAGTCCCGAAAATATAAATTAATGCTATGTACGATCCAATATGATGTGGGACACCTTGTACAGTGTACATTATACGTCAAACTTAAGTAAAGTGCAAGTTAGATTGAAATTTTAAACTTTACTTTATAACTCTAATTTTTGATGAGCTTTTTAGAAGAACAAACATATTTTAAATTTATAGTTTTTAACCAGATAATTTTGTTTTTCTCATATTTTTGCGCAAAATCAACAAAAGAAGCAAAGAAGTCACAAAGTTGTACCAGAAATACCCATAGATAAAGATAGATTGTGCATAAGACGACATTTTTCATCTTGAAAGATATGAATGTACAGAGATGTTTTAAAGATATTCCTATTATATAGATTAACTAGGTCGATTGTGAACATTGGCTGTTCTTATGTCATTGAGTACTTGTGGTGTACATAAGTTCTGTAGAGAGAAATTTAAGTTAGTTTAGTCCTTCTCATGTCCTTCCTCAGTTCTCGTCAATATAATATATTGCTCAGTGAAATATTGTTGTTCAAATAGTTCCATTCCACGATTTATTTTACACTCTATTATGAAATCCATTAAAACACCAAACCACCCCGCTTATCATTGAAGTACACTTTGACCCCTAGAAGTATGAGTTCGCAGACTGTACAATTCTTGGTGATTTTGCGTACATGAGCCATCTATGTTTATTTATTTATCTATGGAAATACTTCTGTTCAGTGTGACATACGAATATAACGCTGTATTTATTGTTAATTAAACCTGTTGAACCATTTTGTATATGTTGATATTGATAAACTGAATATCTGCCAATTCCATCCCCATCCTTGTTAAATTTTACATCTCCGATATCAGAACCTTGAACACCTGAACAATAGGAAATTTATTGTTAAACTTTATATCTCCGATATCAGAACCTTGTACACCTGAACAATAGGAAATTTATTGTTAAACTTTATATCTCCGATATCAGAACCTTGAACACCTAGGAAATATATTGTTAAACTTTATATCCCCAATATATGAGTCTTGAACACCTGAACAATAGGAAATATATTGTTAAACTTTATATCCCCAATATCTGAGCCTTGAACACCTGAACAATAGGAAATATATTGTTAAACTTTATATCCTCAATATATGAGTCTTGAACACCTGAACAATAGGAAACATATTAGTAAACTTTATATCCCCAATATATGAGTCTTGAACACCTGAACAATAAGAAATATATTGTTAAACTTTACATCCCCGATATCTGAACCTTGAACACCTGAACAATAGGAAATATATTGTTAAACTTTACATCACAGATATCTGAGCCTTGAGCACCTGAACAATAGGAAATACATTTTACCTCCCCGATATCTGAGCCTTGAACACCTGAACAATAGGAAATACACTTTACATCCCCGATATCTGAGCCTTGAACACCTGAGCAATAGGAAATACACTTTACATCCCCCATATCTGAGCCTTGAACACCTGAACAATAGGAAATACACTTTACATCCCCGATGTCTGAGCCTTGAACATCTGAACAATAGGAAATATATTGTTAAACTTTATATCCCCGATATCTGAGCCTTGAACACCTGATCAATAGGAAATATATTGTTAAACTTTATATCCCCGATATCAGAACCTTGTAACCTATAAACAATAGAACAATTAAACGTTAAAGTGAATGAACAGCCAACATGTCAAACAGAGTAAATTAAATGTAAGTTTGAATTCAGACATATTTAAAAAATAACTCCCTTAATTTTATAGCTATTAAGAAGAACACTAATGATTTGAATCTTTAATGAATAACAGAATAGAATTATCTACCAGGTCACAAAGACACAAGAATTATACCTTCTCCTTCCGTCCAGTTTACAGAAGGAGAAGGTAAACCTTCCTTCCAGTTTACAGAAGGAGAAGGTAAACCTACCGTCTAGTTTACAGAAGGAGAAGGTAAACCTTCCGTCCAGTTTACAGAAGTAGAAGGTAAACCTTCCGTCCAGTTTACAGAAGTAGAAGGTAAACCTTCCGTCTAGTTTACAGAAGGAGAAGGTAAACCTTCCGTCCAGTTTACAGAAGGAGAAGGTAAACCTTCCGTATAGTTTACAGAGGTAGAAGGTAAACCTTCAGTCCAGTTTACAGAAGGTGAAGGTAAACCTTCCATCTAGTTTACAGAAGGAGAAGGTAAACCTTCCGTCTAGTTTACAGAAGGAGAAGGTAAACCTTCCGTCTAGTTTACAGTTGGAGAAGGTAAACCTTCCGTCGTGTTTACAGAAGGAGAAGGTAAACCTTCCGTCCAGTTTACAGAAGGAGAAGGTAAACCTTCCGTCCAGTTTACAGAAGGAGAAGGTAAACCTTCCGTCTAGTTTACAGAAGGAGAAGCTAAACCTTCCGTCTTGTTTACAGAAGGAGAAGGTAAACCTTCCGTCTAGTTTACAGAAGGAGAAGGTAAACCTTCCGTCAAGTTTGCAGAAGGAGAAGGTAAACCTTCCGTCCAGTTTACAGGAAGAGAAGGTACACCTTCCGTCTAGTTTACAGAAGGAAAAGGTAAACCTTCCGTCCAGCTTACAGAAGGAGAAGGTAAACCTTCCGTCTAGTTTACAGAAGGAGAAGGTAAACCTTCCGTCTAGTTTACAGAAGGAGAAGGTAAACCTTCCGTCAAGTTTGCAGAAGGAGAAGGTAAACCTTCCGTCCAGTTTACAGGAAGAGAAGGTACACCTTCCGTCTAGTTTACAGAAGGAAAAGGTAAACCTTCCGTCTAGTTTACAGAAGGAGTAGGTAAACCTTCCGTCCAGTTTATAGAAGGAGAAGGTAAACCTTCTGTCTAGTTTACAGAAGGAATAGGTAAACCTTCCGTCCAGCTTACAGAAGGAGAAGGTAAACCTTCCGTCTAGTTTACAGAAGGAGAAGCTAAACCTTCCGTCTTGTTTACAGAAGGAGAAGGTAAACCTTCCGTCTAGTTTACAGAAGGAAAAGGTAAACCTTCCGTCTAGTTTACAGAAGGAGAAGGTAAACCTCCGTCCAGTTTACAGAAGGAGAAGGTAAACCTTCCGTCTAGTTTATAGAAGGAAAAGGTAAACCTTCTGTCTAGTTTACAACAGGAGTAGGTAAACCTTCCGACCAGTTTACAGAGGTAGAAGGTAAAAGTAAGAAGTCTAATTGAGAAGAGAAGAAGCAAAACAAAATTGAATAAAAAAGGTTTTGTACTTTTTTTTCTGAATAATAGCTTGAAGGAGACAAAAAGTTAATATTTTTGCTATATAAAGCAAACACTTTTTTTAATGGAAGATCACTTGAAATAAAGCTTTAAATGGCACTACCATAGATTAATAATAACACAGATAGAACACTGAATGTCGTCTTTTCAAGATATATGGAGTTTTTGCTTACAATAACCCTGAGGCAATTGCCCGAGGGAGTTCAGCGCAGGCAGATCTGGGCTCTCTCTCTGTATTGTAATTCAACTCTGCCTGGGCGAAACTCCTTTGGGCTTCTTCCTCAGGGTTATTGTCAACGAAAAGACGACATCTAGTGTTCTATCTATGTTGTTGTTAATCTTTGGTCACTTACTTGTAAATGAAACATTTCTGATATAATCTAGAAGAAGTTTTCCAGTAGGAACAGGAGATATCTTGCCACATATTCTAAATTCACCAGCAGCCAAACATTCCTTCAAATACAAGGGTTACGCTATACTAAAGTAAATTGAACATCAGAGGCAGAATTTAAAGAATTTAATACACATCGCTGAACTTTTAAAAACTGGTTCCAATTGAGCTCAAAACACTAAACACAATTTCAAGTGTCACCAACCATGTTTGAGCCGCGTCTCAAATTTAAGACGCGGCTTAAATTCTTTGCATTTGACCTCAGATTTAGTAATTAAATGTTTTCAATCAGAACTCCATGTTTGAACCGCGACTAAACATTTGCCTGAATTTTGTTATCCTCTGATATTTCAAATTTTAAAATAACAATAATTTTACAAATTAGAATTAAATTTTTTTTCATTTGCCATTTTTTTCCCCTAATTCAAGTCCGGCCTAAAAAATAGATATGTTCTCAAGATAAAGTCGGCTTTTGTACATGCATAGTAAAATTTACGCATCCCCCGGCGTCCTGCATACATTTTTTACTTTGTTGATACCTGTAGCACCCTGTCAGTTAATACCTGTAGCACCCTGGCTCTTAATACCTTTAGCACTCTGGCTCTATCTGTGGAAGGATTAAAGCTGGGGCAACATTGTTCTAAGATCAGATTATGAAGACTATGCGCCATTGCGTAAACTGCATCAACTGAAATTAATTTTTCTCCTAAATCTTGATTCTAAAAAATAGTTTAAATTTTATCATACAGATATGTTTATAAGTAATTTAAACCTATATTTTTATCAATATCTTTATTTTTTTTTTGGAATTTCAGTAAAAATTGTAAATCGTTCTTTTGCTGAATCATCGTTCATTTTCCATCTTTTTTTCCTTTTTAAGCTGAAAGTTCTTTCAGTAAATTTTTCAACAATGAAGGTAAACATTATTAAATGGACTAAGACGAAAACTTTATAATTGTGGGTATTGAGATCAATGCTTGATCTAATCTTTTTGTTAATCTACATATTTATAAAATTTTTACTTTTATTATCCAGGAAAGTGTGTAAAATCTAACCAATCAGAGCGTTATTTGCATAAATTGAACAGCCAATCATAAGCTGGACAATTTTGTGCACAATCACTGAGAACTCTCGTTGGTTCGAACCCAGAAGGGATATCCAAAAGAGAGGATCAACTAGAGAATTAAAAACTGGATATTCAGATCAAGCGATCCGGATAAAAGGTATCCAATTCAAAAGTTGTCTGCATGTTGACTGTCCCGGTTCGATTTTCAGGACTAAACTTCCAACTTTGTCTGTTCAATGATGACAGAGATGTCCTTGTTTTTCTAGATGAAAATGTATTGCTTTAGAGAGGAAATTGACGTCATTAGTGCGAAGCGTATAGTGTACACTGGAGTTTATAGAGAAAGATAAAAAAATCACTGTCCGTAATGATCACACAAATGTTGTGTACTGTCAAGGCTGGGCTATCAGATAAATTATACACTACTGTAAATACACCCGGTCACTATACAACTTACTTGCAAATGGTACCAGGCCTTCTTGCTGGTATAACTCCTTGCGTTCTAACCCAGTGCACAAATCAGAAAACCCTCGATTTTCTTAACAACGATATATTTTAATAAAATTCATCTTTATTGCCACAAAAAAATTGGTAATTTCTCTTTTTATTTTCATAGAAAATGGATATTATTGATTTTTAAATTTCCGGGTTCAAATTATGAATCATTATGGACAAATTTATAGTATTAACATTAAGAAAAATTTAAACTTTAAAATTTTGGAAAATGATTAAGTCCCTGAATTATAGACTGAAACTATTCTCAATTTGGCCAATTTTCTGCATATTTTCTCCCTTATAAACAGTATCATAATTTTTATAGAAATGCAGGATTTATCGTGATTGGTCACTTATATATACGGTTATTATCCAGGCTATATTATAACAGATTGCAAAATAAAAAAATTCCGAAAATGAATCAAACAATATCAAAATTCTATAATTTACGTTTTCATAAGATGTTAATTTCAAACGATCATATGTCATGAGTACGTTCTTGCAATTACCCATTTTATCTACAATTTTACCCACAAAGGAATAGACTTCAGAGATTACTTTTCAGAATTTATGGAAACCTTGTTCTACAGTCTCTTAGTTGCATGCAAATTCAGCCTTTCCCTGTCCTGTAAAGTCTCATCGTTTGTGGTAAACTGTATCTTATTTAGTTAAAATAAAATTAATATTAAAGCAGGGACATTTTGACTTAAGGATTGCATCCAAAACTGATATATTTTTTGTTTCATTAAAAAACATCTAGTGAGGACTATGGGAGGAAGTGTTTACATACAAGTGTACCGCATGATTTAATTATGAAATGGTGCAACTTTTATTTCTATGAGATGTTACCGTAAGGTATAAGCCTCTTGTTAGCCAGTAAAAAAATGGTTTCCCAAAATGAATCAAAACTTAGTTGTGTCCCCTTTTTAACTATTCACAAACAATCCTTTTAATTGAAAAAAACTTACCTGCATCTTTAAATGAACAGCTGTGTTGTTTTGACCAGTATTCTCTAATATTCAGCAATCATATAAAAAAAAGTTTCCCCTCCCCCCCCCATTAATTAAGGCCCTTATCGAGTTGAGATAGAGGAGTGTACTGCATGTCTCTAGTAAAACTTTTCAAGTCCAGCTCATTAAAAACATTGTACCTCCTACTCTAATGGTTTTTGAAAAATACATATACTTAAATTTTAGAGCTTGATTAATAAAAAAATTATGGATTATTTTAGATTTGTTTTGAAACACCGACCAGCCCTTTGACTGTGCTTTACCCCACTATGAACACAAAATCTGAGGGGGGGGGGGGAACCCTCCACTCCTCCCCATTGTAAAATGGTTAAAAGTAAAGAAGTTGAAATTATTTGAATTATGCAGTGCTTTTTTGTTGATAACATTTCTCTGTTGTCAAATTAAATATTAAAATCAAAAACTGAATTTTATAAGTTTCAAACTCAAAAACAAAAGTTATTAAATTTTTTAAAAGAAAAAATAAGTGTTTGCTGCTTATTTGCCTGAACCAAGGATTCCGACAGTTTACCTTAAACATAAAAATAAATTGTTATGTAGTAGTTTCCAGTTTTTTAATTTTTTTACAGTTAGCGAAATGTTCATAAATTTAAAATGTTTTCGAAAGGTTAATATTACGAACTCATTGTTAAGGGTTCTTCAGCAACTTCTAATAATAATATAAGTTTTCAATTGAAAAAAAAAGAAAAATTACCATTTTATTCCTTTTCGACTTTGTGGAACACTCTTGCATTGACATTGGAGGTCTTAAGGATAAAAAATAATCATCAAAACCTAAAAAAAGATTCTGCCATGAATCAGAGCCATGCAACTGAGTTCTGGCCTCAAATTCTAATTTTCTAGTCCCTTTAATATTTCAAATTATTTAATCAAAAAGTTCAATTATGAATATCAAAGGTTTGCAGTTAACCTGTCGGGTTAAAAAGATAAATAGAAAAATAAAGTTTGTGGGAAGAATGTAGTTCATTTGGTTTGTAAGAATTAGAGAGTATGGTTTACATAGGATATAAAGTTTGTTCCTTTAGATTTTAGAAGTGTAATACCAAAGCTATCCCTCCCCCCCTCCCAATTTTATTTTTATTTAAAAAAAAACTTCCATTCTCAATGGTCCCACTAAGAAAAAAATTTACAAAATATATTTTATATGAAGGGTAAAATCTCTCATTTGATATAGAATCTAAAAAGGCAACTTTACCTTATTTAAATACATTTTATACCTTGAATATTTTTTCTTTTTGGAAGAATTGTTATTGCTCCTTCAGCCGTCCATTCCTTTAGAAAAAGATTAAAATGAAATAGCAAAATAATATACTATATAAGGCTTACAGGGAGTTTGACCATCTTTGATTTTAACCTTTTAATTGTTTATCTATCTGCGGTATTTTCTCTTATCAAATTATCAATCAAAAAAACATCAGCGGATTTATAAATTTTAAAGTACGACCATCCATTAACCTTTCTTGGGATCATGTGAGGTCTCAATTGTTGTTTTGATGTTTATTGGATACAAACAAACAGCAAACAGATAAACAAACACTTCCAGACAAACACTGCAGACAAGCAAAGTTTATAGATAATTTCCGTTTAAAACCTTGCCTTTTTAAAAAGCTTCTTCTTCAAAAGTTAAAATTTTAAATCTAAATGTGGGACCCAATACACTGGTTTTCTCAAGGATAAAAAATAAAAATCCCTTTTTCAATTTCAGTTTCACAGTATACCTGCTGTTTCACAGGATGTACTTTTGCACCCCAAGAGTCAGAGCCTAAATATATACTTTTTTAGTAGGGGTGTTTTATATATAAAAATACTGTTTAATTAGGGTGTTAAATCTCATTTATTAAACTATCTATAATTATGAAAATATTTCTTAAATTTCCGTAATAATATTAATAATTATGAAAATATTCCCCTTAATTTCATTAAAACTAATTATAATTATGAAAATTAATTCCAAAAATACTATTTATAATTATGAACATTAATTTCATAAATACAATTTATAATTATAAACTTTAATTTCATTAATACAATTTATAATTATGAACATTAATTATGATTACTATTTATAATTATATAAATATTCCCATTAATTTCATTAATACTATTTATAATTATGAACATTAATTACATTAATACTATTTATAATTATGAACATTAATTTCATTAATACTATTTATAATTATGACCATTAATTTCATAAATACTATTTATAATTATGTACATTATTTTCATAAATACAATTCATTATTATGAAAATATTCCCATTAATTTCATTAATATTATCTATAATGATGAAAATATTCAATTAATTTCATTTATATTATTTATAATGATGGAAATATTTTCATTTATTTCATTAATCATATTTATACTGATATAAATATATCCATTGATTTTGTTAATGCTATTTATAATGATGGAATGTATCCATTAATTTTATCAATACTATTTATAATGATGAAAATATTACCATTAATTTCATTACTATTTATACTTATGAAAATATTCCTTTAATTTCATTAATACTATTATCTATAATGATGGAAATATTTCCATTAATTTCATTAATAATATTTATAATGATATAATATGATATTTATCCATTGATTTTATTAATGCTATTTATAATGATGGAAATAAAACCATTAATTTCATTTATACTATTTATAATGATGAAAATATTTCCATTAATTTCATTAGTACTATTTATAATGATATAATATGATATTTATCCATTGATTTTATTAATGCTATTTATAACTAAAAAAATATTCCTTAATTTCATTAATTCTTTTTACTATTATAAAGAATGTTTAGGGTAAGGTTCCAAGCTATTAATTAATATTATTTCCCAGCTAAAAAATATATTATTTAAAGAAGTTAAAAAGTTTTATGACGTATAGTTTCAGAAAAGTTTTAGAATTTTTAAAACAAACTAAATGATGTAACTAATTATTTTAAAGACATAAACAAAATCTACTTTAAAAAAAAAACTTGCCGGGTTATGGGGTTAATATAGGCCAATTAAATGATTACATAACTTTTTTTGATACACATTTTTTATTAAACATTAGTAAATATCAATTACAATTTGCAAGGCGTCTCTCAATTAGGGAACTCTTGTACTCTGGATATTAAAATCAATGCTTGATCTCAATTTTTGGTTAATCTGCAGATTAATTAATCTTCTTTTGATATCCCCCATGATAATCTTACCCCGTGGAGGAATAACTGAAATGAAAAGATTAAGCATTTAAGCAGTTATTCTTAAATTGATAATGCCCGCAGTGGATATCGAGATCAAGTGATCGGAATTATGTGTATCCAACCCAAAAGTTCCCTGCCCTGAAGGAATTACTGAAATATACAGATTGAGCATTGATTCTCAAATTAGAAATACCCAAACCGGATATCGAATCAATTGGGATCGGGATTGTTTGTATCCAACCCAAAAGTTTTTAGCCCTGAAGTAATAACTGAAATATAGAGATTAAGGATTACTCCTCAAAATAAAAATGCCCGCAGTGGATATCAAAATTAAGTGATCTGGATTATGTTCCCAGTTCTGTATTACCTATCCAGTAAAAATATCCTGCAATCCCTAGCCGTATGGTAGCACTCAATAAATGCCTAAACAAAAAATGATTTCAATATATTTCTTTTTTTCTTGAAATTCATATTTTTCCTAGTTTTGAAATTTTAGAATTTCTTTTGTTAAACTATGTAGGGAGCCTTTTGTTAAACTAAGTAGGGAGCGAAAATGGGGGTAGTTTAAAGCATAACATTTTGCTCAAGATCAGCAATGAATCAACGCCGATTTAAGGAATTACAACCCCCCCCCTTTAGCTCTTCCATTTTATATTATATACATTCAACACTAGTTTTAGTAGAAGTAAATATTTCCATTTACTGATATCGCCGATTGAAGGCTTCATAGTTCTAATTGGATAATGAGGTAGATAGAAAGATAGACGTTACCAATACCGCCATACGATTGTTATTGGTTCAGAATAAACAACAAACACATGACTGAACCCTGATTGGATCAGGCGCTAATGGACATGGCATACAGGAGTGTCAACCCTATAATGTATACTACTTAAAAAGTAGTTGTTAAATGGCATGCCATGGGACACATACTGAATATTAGGAAAGCAAAATTTTGGTATATTTTGTTTAATTAATGTTGTTTTACAGCAAAGAAGTATTCAATAAGCTGGTTTATAAACACTTATTCAGTATAATGGGTCTTGAAGTACTCTGTAAAATGAAAGCAAAGTCTAACAGTTTTATGGGTGCCATTTTCAGTAAAAAAAATCGATTGAGATTGAGACTGTTTTTTTTCAATTTTGAACGACAAATTATTAGAACCAAGAGTGAAAATATAGTAAAGAATATTCTAGAAGATTTGAAGATCAAACAAATATTAGTATATTTGAGAAAAATTAATAGAANGTAGAACAAGATTTTTAACTATAAAGATTTTAAGAAAAGTGACCATTAAAAATCTACTTTTAATTTTTTAAGTACTTGAAAGGCGTGTTCATGTAACCGCATATTTTTGTGTGGACCATGTTCCAATTCGGGAAACAAATTAACAAAATTTCCCACTCGTTAGTTAACAAGCCTTTTCCCGACCAGAGGAAGCTGAGACAAAATTAGTAGACAGGCTCATTTAACTATTAAATTAATTTAATGAAAACAAAACGGGTTTAATTTTCAAGACAAAAAGTTGACGTTTTTTTCCGTGGATTACATGCAATTTAAACCATAAAAATTAAGTAAATTGCCTGTATTTAAAAAAGCATCTGTTCTTTTCAAAATTTCCGTTAAAATTTTCTTCCTAAGCAGTTATTTTTTTCGTTAACGAAATAAATTTACCAGAATTTTTAAAATTTTTTTTTAACGAAATTACAATAATTTTCTGAATACTCCGTTCAGTAAGGGAAGAATAGATATACCGTGAACCTATTTCTTACTATACGAATAGGCTTTTCATTTATTTAAACATCGTCTTGAAACTTTTCAAATATTAACAAAAATAAAGTTAGAAAAACTCCTCCCTCTCCCCTCTTCCCATGGTTTAAAAGTTAGAACTTAAAAATGGAAATTTAAAAATTCTACATTTCAACTTTTTGAATATTTCTATATTTAAATTTAGAAGTTTAGATGAAAAGTTTATACTTTGTACGGTAAATATTTACAGACAAAGAAATCATGAATCATCCCAGTTCTATTTATGTTATTAAAGTAAATTTCAAGTAAATCTAGATTTAAAGCGGCAACATCCCCATTCACAATGGTACCCGATAAAACTTTATCTAACCCTTCTCTACCCCTTTCTCTTTCACATCTTAATATATCGTCGTTTTGAAACTTTAAAATGTTGACTTCTTTCAATTAAATTCATTATTTAAAACTGAAATTCACTTCAGTATTTGAAAAATTTAAATTTTCATTGAGATAGATCAGACTAAAGTTTGAATGGTATCGTTCGTTATTTTTGTAACCCTATCCTGTAGGGCTAATTTTATGTAACAAAGGTTGGAGAGGAGGGGGGGGGGGGGGGTCAAAGGTACAACTTTTCAAATAAAACAAATTATAATTTTTTTAGAAATTATTTTTTTACCTGGTTTTATCCTCATCTACAAAAAGCACTACTGCCTGAAAAAATATACATTTGGATATTTAATAAAGTTTTTCTTGGCAAGAATTCTTTAGAGGTTTTCCTTGTAATTTTATTGAATAGAATTCACTAAAAATACCAATCTTTTATCTTTAATCTGCGTCGAAACGGTTAGTCGGTTTGCCTTAATATTTAAAACCCATGAGAGCAAAAGTATAATTGTTAGATGTTTAGGAACAGGTTGTGAAAATAAAAATTAACCCTTAAAATCGAAAATTAGTAATCTTATTCAATTATTGGTTTCTGTAAATTCTTATTGTTCACAAACATTTTCTGTAGATTTCCTGGAATTTTTATTGAAGAGACGACATTTGAAGAATTTGAAAAAATGTTCGAAGAAATTTATATAGAATAAGAAATTCAATATAATGATAAGATTAAATAATTGATTCTAAAATTGCTGAAAAAATATGCACCGCACCGTAAAACCTTCTCATAGGTCTCAAATGAATCCTAAAAATGTTCTCTACCAAACTGCATTCTCAGCTCAACTACCATGACTAGCCACAAACTCTCTTTAAGACAAGAATGTTTAAAAAAAAAAAAATATTATCTAAAGAGAAAAGGAATTAATGGCAACATATTATTGACATTCCCATTACCCAACAGAATGAATTATTTTGTGTACTGTCTCGTTTTACCGTCTATAGTCTGCACGTATACGGTACATAGCTTTCTCTAGCTCTGCCTAAAAGTCAGGCCGGTACTTCAACCAACCAGTTGTCAGGCCGGTCAGACCTCAAACAACCAGTTTTTCTGTGTTTAGAGTTACCTTTGCTTTTGGTTTCTTCATCAACTCAAGAATCACAGCTTCAAACTCTTCTCTGTTAAAAAATAAATAAAGGAATGATCATTTTTTTGAAATATCGGAAAAAAACATTATTTTGCCCGCAATTACTGGTGTGATCAAATGTTTATAAATTATTTTTTGTAAACACTACAATTTGATCAATGTGTCCATAAAACCACTAATTTTATATCATTTTATCTAATCCTGAGCCATTTATAAATATATATATATATATATACATATATATAAGATGCACAAATTATAGTATTTTCTGAAATGCTTTAAAGAATTTTCCACCATTTTAATTTTGTTAGGATTATTTATTAGAATATGTATTAGAATATTTATTAGAATATTTATTAGAATATGTATCAGAATATGTATTAGAATATTTATTAGAATATTTATTAGAATATGTATTAGAATATGTATAAGAATATGTATTAGAATTTGTATTAGAATATGTATCAGAATATGTATTAGAATACATATTAGAATATGTATTAGAATTTGTATTAGAATATGTATTAGAATATGTATTAGAATATTTATTAGAATATTTATTAGAATATGTATTAGAATACGTATTAGAATATGTATTAGAATATATTAGAATACATATTAGAATATGTATTAGAATATGCATTAGAATATTTATTAGAATATGTATTAGAATATTTATTAGAATATTTATTAGAATATGTATTAGAATATTTATTAGAATATTTATTAGAATATGTATTAGAATATGTATTATAATACGTATTAGAATATGTATTAGAATAAAGGGTAAGTATGATACTGCTGGGTCATTGCACATTTCTTTTAGATAAAAAACTGTAAAGTGATTTAACCTTAAATAATAAGAACCGTTAAAAAAAATCTATATGATTGTATTTAGCCTCAATTGCAAAAACTTTTTTCATGATCACCAGGTATGGTAAATGGACATGTGCAAATAATTCTTTAATAATTTTAGACAATTAATATCATATATTTAAAATTCGGTGATGGTGATGGACCAAACCTCTGTAGAGTAAAAAAGAAGATGTTAGTTCCACATTTATTGAAACTATATTTCGGTCTGGGTTGTCCCTCGTCAGTTCTAACGATATAATAATCATCAAAATCGATAAAAAAAATATAAAAAAATGTTTGTTAAAAATCACAAGAAAATAAACAAACAAAAAAGATTATTCAAAATAAAAATTTGGGCTGTCATATATCATATATAGTACATTAAATATTTCTCGCAATCTAAAACAATTTCAGCGTTCCAAAAAATCACGTTTTAATCATATTAATTTTGTAAGAAACATTTAAAGAATGTGATGTAACATGTAACTACATCTTTTATAATCATTTAACAAATTTTTCGTAACCTTTATTTTTTTGTAATTGAATTCAAAATTTTAGATTTTTGAAACAATCTACAAGAAAAGTGTATTGTACTCAAACCCACGTGTTTTTAAAAGTATTTAGACTTAAAAAGTGTTATTGACATGAAAACAACATACTAGTCCTTCTTTCTAAATTTGTGACCACACTCTTTAATATAATTATCTTGAAATTCTTTTCTATAATGGGTTTTCTCCTCTCTAGAACCCAATTAAGATTAAGAGTTTAATATAAAAAAAAAAACATTTTTTCAAAATAATGCAATTAAAGGTCTATATTTTGATGTGTCTGAGATATGCACAACTGATTTTACCGCTGGAGTTCTTAGAATTAGATTTTATACTTTTTCCAGTGAATTTTTTGGATTTGATAAATAATTAACATAACAGGCCGCTAATAGGGCGCTTGGCGCCCATTTTGTATTTGAATTGTTAACATGTTCTCTTTGTATAAATTGTAAAACAAAAACAAAACAAAAAAATCGTGTGTTCAAAAAAAAATTCTTGGATTTTTAAAAATCGAATTTTTTTAGATGCAATCTTTGAAAATTGGATCATCCATTAACCTTCCCTGGGGTCATGCGAGGTCCCACATAAGATCTGGGCCCGATCAGCTCAGCCGTTTTGATTTTACAGGATACAAACAAACAAAAACTCAAACAACAAAGACCAGCAAAGTAGATATATAATAAAGATTAATATAATAATTGTGCGATTTTAAACTTTTTTATCAAATTTGCCAATTTGTTATCCTAGGTAAAGATATAGGGCAAAAACGAACAAAAAACTTTAGTCAAAAACACCTTTTAAAAGTCTAAAAACATGAAAAGTTTCTGTAAAGCGAATCCCTATACATATATGTGTAAAGTCGTCATCTTTATATGTTTGTTTGTATAACCGATCATAACTCTTGAACCCCTTGACATATTTTGATTAGAGAACTCCCCAGGGATGGTTTTAGCCTGGTTTCAAACTAAAACCAGGCTAAAACCATTCCAATCCAATGTTTGTTGAACAACTAGATCTCAAGCCAAATTGTTTTCACAAACTAGTAAAAATTAGATATGTTTGAAATAAAATCTGGTGAAAAAATAATGCTTCTAAAAATGTTCTTAATCTGAAATTAAGCCTAATTAATTTGTATTAATCCTCTTTTCCCTTATTATTATTAATATTATTATTTCTTCTAAATATATACTTTGCTTGTCTGGGTGTCTGTTTTTTTTAGTATCCAATAAACGTCAAAACGGTTGAACCGATTGGCCCAAATTTTATGTGGACCTCGCGTTACCCCATAAATATGCCTTTAACAAAATTCGATTTTTGAAAATTTTAAAAATCCACAATTTCTTTTTTAAATCCGCAAAATTTTTAGTTTGTTTCAAAGTTGAAATAGAAGACGGGCGCGAAGCACACTAAGAGCCTGCTATTACTCTTCATTTCGCGTGCATGTGTATCTCATTATAATGAGATACTTCCTGCAACAGACGTTAAGCTGGGTGTAATATTGCTTTTTTTAATGATCTTTGATCGTATCGTTAACAGAGAATAAAATACAAAAATGCAACAATCGTTATTTAAATAACAAGAACGGATAATAGATTGCTTCAAATGTTGAAAACGAATTAATTCTTGTTTAAAATTTGGTTTCTAAGCTAAACTAGCATTTCATGATATTGTTAAAATTAAAAATTAAAAACATTTGTTGTTGATAGAATTTGTAAACAACTGTAGCAAGTCTATAGCTGTTAAGAACTTAAATATATAAATAACTAAGACGAAAACCATTTTAGTAAAGTTCTTCTTTGTAGCCTCAATTCTTTATGGGTAAATCTGTAAGTAATAAGTTTGATCACAGCTGAAAATCCCGATTACTTAATCTGAGTATCCAATGGACACACTTTTGATATTTTTCTTAAGCTGTTTTTTCTTGGATATAGTAGAGAAAAATCTAAAACCGGTTTTTTTTAAATTAGGAGTCCCTCCCATTTCTGTGTATTAATCTTAATTGGCGCGCAAAATTTCAAATATATCAGCCTCATATACGCGACTCTGATTGGTTGAATTTTATACACTTTTCAGGATACAAGTACAAGATTAGGTTAATTCGTCTCAATATAAAGAAAAAGAGAGGATCAAGCATTAATCTCGATATCCACCATTCTAAAGTTTTCAGCTCTGGCATATGTCGGAATAAACCCCGCATAGCTATAATTCAAAATCAATCAATGAAATCCTTATAAACCTATTTTATTTATTTATCAGAGCTTAGGCTAGAGATGGGAATCGGTTTCTTTGAACGAGCATAATAACGATTCTTTGGAAAAAAAAACTTTTGAAAAACTATTTTTTTAATGATTTTATTTCAGTGATTTTATGATTTTATTTCAGTAAGTAAACTAACGAATTAGATGGAAAATGAATTTGAAAACAAACTAAATAATTTTCTTTGAACTATTGAAAAAATGGGTCGTTCACGAATGATGAACAAACGAAATGAAAAAAGTCGAATTTGTCCATCCCTACTCCTAGCTGAACAAAAAGGGTAAAATAATAAATTATCACCTTGTCGGGTTCCTACTGATTTTAGCCGATACTGCTACACAGACACCCTCCTACAAGATTACAATGTCTAAAGGGACCCTTTTAATTTAACCTACAATGTAAAAAAATATTGTAATTTTTCTAGTTTAAAACTTTCCTCTGAAGAAAGGCACAATTATCGAAATTATAATTGGAAAACAATCAATTTTAAAAGTGAAAATGATTGATATCTTATGCATTCTTAATCAAGGAAAGCTGTAAAGGTTAGTTTTGCCCTCTATAAAATATAAATGGAGAGTTACTTTAAATAATGTCTACATAGTACATATATCCAAATATTTGACTACTATAATTTTCAAAATTATTATTTTCAACAAATTTTGATAAAATAAAATAGAAAATAAATCTTTTCTCGAGAAAAATAATTTTGTCAGATAAAAAAACTAATTCAAGATGAAAATGCATTTCTACTCTTTTGACTCATAACGGACAAATTTTTTTTTCTTTTTTTTCAGAACTCAAAGTAATTTTTTACATTCTTTAATGTAGTTTTATCATTTTCTTATCACCTACCTCAGTTGCTAGCTTGATGAAATAACCTATTCCCTTCTCACCATATTCACCCTTAAAAAGAAAAACTGAAAACAAAAATATTTTTACTTAAAAATGATGGAATTGATGTGTTTTCAAAGAGATATGAAAGTATTTTATTGGTTATGTATCATAAATATTTCAGCGTTATACGTCATATTCAAATTAGAATTAATTAATTTTTAGCGGCGCCCGCCCACAAAAAACAAAAACAAAAAAACACATATTAAGTTAACACACTGTAGTATATATTTTTAACCTTTCTTTCTTGATATGCAATAAGATTGACAAAGCTAGATGAAATAGAAATTTCAAGCTAAAGCACCCGGTTTATATTATAATAATAATTATTCCCACCGTTTACCCGCGATTGGTATTAAATCATAATTTTTGGTGTAGGGTGCACAGCGTTGCCCGTGGAATAAAAAAGTCGAATTTAAATAACAATCCAAATTTTTTTTATCTTCTGCTACCCCGAGGTTACCCGAGGTTGGGTTTCATAAAAAAAATTCAGGCAATTTGATTCAGCCGTTTGGCCAGCTATAGCTACTGTGCTGAACTTATTTTAGGAAGGTATATATATGTATATACATTTATTTATAGAAAAAGGCCCTCATTTGTCTTCTAAGTGACCTTAGAAAAAACGAGTAACCCGACCCATTAGGTATATTTATATATTTTATAAGTACATTTATTGCATCTAGATGTAAATACATGATAATTAAAGAGTGTATAAAAGGTGAGGAAGATAAGTTAACGACAGCCCTTCGTTAACGATCGTTAACATATTTATCAATGACCATTTTTTTTCTTTAAAAAGGATCGTTTTAAAAAAGATCGATATTCGTTTTCTAAAAGTTCAAAACGAATTGATCGTTTTTAAAAACGATCGTTTTTGAAAACGATAAAAAACGAAACGAAAAACGATCGTTTAACAATCGTTTTCTAAAACGATTAAGAACTCCAGTTGTTGTGAAGGCCAGACGGGCATATATTCCACCTGTAGAGAACTGGCGTCCAGAATATCTATGAGTAGGTTAAAGATGGTAGCTGAGTTGTTTAATAGCTTCAGAAGTAACTGTTTAGCTGATTAGCTTCTGGAGGGTTGAAGTTTAGCTTATTAGCTCCATGAGTAGGTGTGGTTTAGCTTATTAGCTCCAGAAGTAGCTGAGGCTTAGCTTATTAGCTCCAGAAGTAGCTGAGGTTTAGCTTATTAGCTCCAGAAGTAGCTGAGGCTTAGCTTATTAGCTCCAGGAGTAGCTGAGGTTCAGCTTATTAGCTCCAAGATACCCGAGGTTTAGCTTATAAGCTCCAGGAGTAGCTGAGGTTTAGCTTATTAGCTCCAGAAGTAGCTGAGGTTTAGCTTATTAGCTCCAAGAGTAGCTGAGGTTTAGCTTATTAGCACCAGGAGTAGCCTAGGTTTAGTTTATCAGCTACAGGATTAGCTCAGGTTTAGATTATTAGCTCTAGGAGTAGCTGAGGTTTAGCTTATTAGCCCCAGGAGTAGCTGGTTTAGCTGGTGTATCTTTAAAAACGCTACCCTAAAAAAATGCTACCCTATAAAAAAGCTACACTATAAAAACGCTACCCTATTAAAGCGCTACACTATAAAAACGCTACCAAAGCTAAATTCGCTACTATTTTTAGATGAAAACTGTTGATTATGATTTAAGATAAGAAAAGAAATTATTAAATATTAAATATTTGTTAATGTTTACCAAAATTAAGTATCATTAAAAAAATTTAATCATAGCGCATTCAATGTATTACATGTAAAAAGACATTACTGAGATGAAAAAAGTGATTTGTTTTGTTATCGACACATGTTTATTGAAAATTTTCAAGTTTGAGTATATTACTTAACCAACATTGAAATTAACATTGACAATTTGAAAATCTGTATTCAGCCGAGAACTCACTCCGGGAAGAGAAAATTTAGTTTTTGGACTCGATCAAACCTTCAGAAGTTTAACAAACTAAAATGTATGCCATCAGAAGACTTTTTATCCCACTAGCCCCAGAAATTATTAACTCGGGCAATAACTCCTTCTGATGGAATCTGTATGTTTCACAGTTTAGCTTATCAGATTGTTCGGCTAGATCCAGGTAAACATGTTATAAATATCCCCGAGTACTATATCAGGGAAACCTGATACCTTATCTATATTCTTGTAAATAACTATCATCATCATTTTATGCATATCTCGTAACCAAATAAAAGATTAACATTATAGTTCATTAACCTTGTAGTTATATATATGTCCTAATAGTAAGTACTAAGATTGACTCAGAAAGACTGGCATCTTGTGACACACCTTACAACTGTCCTTATTCTGTTAGATCTTATTAACTCCAGGAGGAACCGAGGTTTAGCTTATTAGCTCCAGGAGTAGCTGAAGCTTAGCTTATTAACTCCAGGAGTAACCGAGATTAAGCTTATTAGCTCTAGGAGTAGCTCAGGTTTAGCTTATTAGCTCCAGGAGTAGCTGAGGTTTAGCTCATTAGCTCCAGGAGTAGCTAAGGGTTAGCTCATTTGCTCAGGAGTAGCTGATTGTAGGATGAAGAAATAGTGAATTTGTAGATAAGCTTAAGATTGTTATCATCGTCCAATTCTGGAGCTGTTTCCGATTAGGAGGCAGTGTTTTCTGCCATGGTTCGTTTGTTGTCTGGGGTACCCCTTTAGAAGATTTATTGCTTCTAGATGTAAATACATGATAAATAACGAGTTGTTGACCTTTAAAAAAGGTCAGAAAATATACAAATAAAGAAATCAGGAAAAACCCAAATATTCTATAACATTTATTTAAGAAAAATAATATTGTTTTGAAATATTTGCACAAATGGCGAAGTTAAAATTGGTTGATTGAAATTGAACAAAGGATTATAAATTGACGAACATCAGTAGCAACTTCATATTGGTAGTGTATAACTTCATATTGGTGGTGCAGATCAACTAGAACTGGAACAACAGGTTTCTGCTCTCTCCAGGTTATTAAACTCATTAGAGTTGAGATTATCCTCTTGTGGAGGAGAGTTAGAACCCTTGGAACAGGGTGAGTATCCTCTTGTAGAGGAGA